TTTTGAATTTTATTCTGCCATCATCTGTTCATCATGTGATCAATCTAGTAATGGCAACAAGTCAAATTTGTTGGAGTCAAATCCAAACTTTATGCTCCCAAATCAAGTCAGGTCTCAAGTTTCAAGTCAAGAACACTGCAAGTGGTGATGCCAATGGGCAATGGTCATCTCTCCGAGGAACACACCAAAAAAACTATGGCAGATTCTACAGGACTGGGGCTGTATATAGCTTTTACGTGATGGTGGAGAATTCAGAGGATTCCGGTTGCATTCTAACGGTAACAAAAAACACCCAGGGAGTTGTAGTGATAATCCACCTGAATATTCCACCTGTTCACTTTTTGAATTTGTTCAACTGCACTTGTAACTCGGTGCTTCAGAAATGCTGTTAGTTTTAAAGTACTTACTCTCTTTCTCATCTTTTAGTTGGTCAGCTATTTCCTTCTCTGCCCTGAGCTTTTGAAGGGATTCCTACAAACAGATGAACATACAAAAACAGATAGGTAATGTTTCATACCATGGAAAATTAATGACACGTTTCAGAGTTCCAATCAAACAGCGCAATCATTATCTTTTACAACGACATTCATCAATGCCTTGCAGGAATTGATGTTTTTATTACACAAGATGGAGGTAAAATATATCGCACCTGCAGTAAAATCTGTACATGATTATGAAACACTGTCAAAAGAGTATTAGCAAAATTACATTAAAAAGGGAATTTCTTCAGGACAAACTCTGGATCACTTTGAAGAATGAATAATTCTGAGAGGAATCGTCAAAATTTAAAATTACCGACTTTATCCTGGTTTTGGAATCGTGGGTCACACATATCACAGACACTAGTTACACGTTAAACAAGTTACCAACACTACAACACAGTATTAAGACACGTTAGTGCTGATGGATGAAATTCAGTGAAGTGGTTTACAAGACACAATACAACTGCAATGTACCACTACACTACACTCAAACCAAAACATCTGAACTTGAGACCGACAGAGCCAGTTACTTTAGAAGAGCTTGTGTAGAATGCACACCTCTCTCTCAGCTTTCTTCTGGGCTCCTTGTTTGATGTACTCTAGGCGCACCTCATAACCCTGATTCATCAACAGGATTTCCTTCTGGCGCTTCTCCCGGTCCGCCCTGCCTAGCTCTCGGCAATTATTGGTGCACTTGGCGGCGCCTGGAAGTAGATACTCATCAGAGGCATCACAACAGTCTGTGGAAATCAAACAATGAAGGGCATTTCATTACACTGAAACTGTGGGATGAGGGGAACATTAGCATTCCATGATGCACAATGCACGTGTTGGTCAAGTCTTCATTACTAAAAAGCTTTGTCTCTATTGCCAAAACGAGAAAAAAACATGCTTTCCACATGTCAAAGTTATGTATGAGTGTGCTGCACGTAAAAATGAACATCTATACAGTACAGCACTGCTACGCCAAACATCACCATTCTCAGCAATCAGGTATGCGGAACATCTATCTTGGCTCCTTAATTTAAAAACTGGAAATTTGCTTGAAATAAAAAAAAAATGAGTTCTCTATGGAATAACACTTGGCATGAACATTTAAAATAGAATACACTTGTTTACAAAGCTATACATTCAAAATGTGTGATTTGTGTAATCAACAGGGAAAGAAATGTCACTGGTCAAAATGTTTACCCTAGAAAACAGACCACTAGTTGTAACTCTAGTCACATACACATAGGCATTTACTGTACATATGGACTAATTTACATTGAGAAAAACCACCTTCACATACTACCATCTGATATCACATTGCTTGTCTTTGATATGCCGGTGTACATGTATGTCTACCTGGGGTACACTACCCACTGCCTGCAAGCCATAGCAGTCATCTAACTGACCTGGAAATCATAGCTGCAAGTTGACCACTGCAAGAAACTGGTCAAATATCCAGCAATTGTGCAAATAAACCATGTAAGTTTCAAAATGGCTGCCGCGGCAAACAAACTTGGGTAAGATTCCTTTGGCCCAGGCATCAGAAATATACCAAGTAGAAACAAAAGCAATTCAAAACGTGAAATTACTTTACGACACTTAGCCTCTTTAATAACAAAGGCAATGTGATGCCTGTTGTATTCAATGCAACCCAACAGCTGCAGCAAAAGAGGGCTTTTTCTTTTCACAGCTAATATCAACAAGATCCAACAGCTGTTGCCTTCTGTTGGATTTTGCTGGATGTGTTAAGATTAGGGTGGAGACCTACCACAAATACCGTCATTTACTCTAGAGGAAGGAATGTACTTAGGAATGAATCCCTTGTTGTTGCAATGGAATTTGCCCTGCGGACAAGCTGATGTTCCTGAGTGAAAATAAAACACAAACAAGAAAAAGGCTCCAATAGGATTCCCACTGATCTACATGAATCTGAAAACCAAATTCCATGAGTTTTCCATGAGTTTCTTAGACTTTTTCAAGACTTTCCTTAGCCATAGGAACCCTGCTATTATGCCCCACCAGGCCTATACCAAAACCCATGATTTTAATTTGAAATCACAAAAACCATCCACTAGTGGCCACCTGCTGTCTACTATACCCTTAGTAGTGCAGTCATCAGCCAACTACCTCTTTATTGGATGGCAGCCAGGGTTGTCAGCAAGGTTATCATCAATGCACACACGGTATCATGGCTTACCTGGTTCATCAGAAGAGTCCAAGCAATCGCAGTAGTCATCATTCACCTGACTTTTTAAAATCCGCCTCGACCCATCTAGGCAGGTAAACCACTGTGGATCTCGGTAGAATTCCTCATCTAATTGACGGAATAATTTGGGAGAGAGCAGAATAAACGCTACACAATGCATTCCAAATGCTGGTCTTAACAGGTACATGTACATGTTTATCATGGGAAGCAAGACAGCATGCACTCTATATTAACCCTAACCCCCCAAGGGTTGCTGGCCCTAACCTTCCCCATTCATACAAAGTTAAACACCCCTACGGGACTTCGTGCACAGAGGCTGTTGGACTTTGTTTTTCTGAGGTATGCCAAACCCGATGCAAAAGCCAGCTGTTATGGGCCTACCAGACCTAACCCCACAGAATTAAACACTTTACTACTGTTTAATTCTGTGTGGTTGGGGAAGGTTAGGGTTAACAGCTTGTATGGACATTGCAAGCTGGAGATCCCCTCAGATGAGACAAGAGATGCACGTATACGTGCACCGTATTAACCGCTTGCTGCCGGGTGGTTTGAAAAATGCAGTGCACATACTCGGGACTTGTTAAGATTTTCAGTTTTCAAAATTCTTCGAAAATTCATCATTTCAATTAATGGACGTTTACACCCTCACGAATAACTGTCTGGTGGCCACTCTAGTGTGACAGATAAAATCTATTGACGCCCGAGTATTTCAGCCAGGCCTGCAGCCTTGTAAAAAGAGCCCAGATTGTGTGCTGTTATCTGACTTTCTTTTCTTCACGAATCTGGCACAGTGCGCTGCTGACCCCTTTTCAATAGGGGCCAGATTAGCATGCCGCGGTACTGTGTAGCTCATCGCTGTGGTGGTGGAGTGCATTTGTCCCTTGTGGTAATCCGCTCACACTAAATGCCCAAACCGTGGTCTACTGTTTCAAATCAAGGCTGGATTATCTCCACTATTGAGAGTGAAAAATGTCAGTAATGCCCAGCAGCCTGGTCTTTTGTTCCGAGTACGGTCTTTTGTTTACAAGGCCCAGTTCCCTTTGTCCGATTTCGGAGACCCCGGCTACGCGTATAAACACACGGGCCGGGCTCCCTGGCAGGAAGTGGTTAATTATATTGTGTCAATTTGATACGATGAACACAGTGTGACCAATGCCCATGTAAAAAGTACTGGATTTTAGTGCATATTATGATGAAAATACACCAAAAAGCTGATGAGTGTAATTTTGAAGGTTTAAAATTTGTACACTTCCAAGTATTTCCCACAAAAATTGTACATATCAATAATATTTGCACGGTACATTAATCACGAACAGCTGTACTGGCAGGTATGAGACAGACTTGAATTACTGGTACACATTCAACAGACTTTAATTTTCAGGGTGGTAGGTGCTGTCGTCGTGCATATGTACGTGTACACACCATGACATGCATGATGTTGCATGTTTTGCCCGTCACTTTGAATAATTTTGCTGAGGGTGCCGTTGAATTGCCAACAAATTATTTCACACAATGATACAGCGGCTGCTACATGTACACACAGACCCATCCAAGCCAACTTACATTTATCTCTATGGACAATACATGTATGTCTCCATCAGGGTCTGACATGTCTCATCTACATGTACATGTACTTGTCACCTGTCTCTTGGATAGGCAGTGTGTGATTTCAACAGGCATTTTGTGACATGGACAATAAACCACAACATAGAAAATTTTGCGACACGGTAAAAATGGCAGATTTTTTTGGGGGAGGTAAAATTTTTATCGATGTGGCTATTGTTAAGGTAACTGTAATGCAAGTTCAAAATCCTACAATTACGTTAGTGCACAATTTTCATTGGTACATGTACATGTAATCTATATAAAGTTTTTAATTTCCCGTCACCGTCATGGCAATGCGATGGCACAGTCGCTACGCACATTGCCATGTAAAATGCATGTAATGGGATCGAGCCCCACTCTTGATGGAATCTTTTTCCTTTTTTCTATCATTTTCTTCATTTTCTCAATCAGAAAGCATGCTTATCATGTTTTCTTTCTATACCAGGTTTTCTTTTCCTTTTTGGTAGGTTCATACCTCTGGAGGATTCATTTGAACCCTAACCTCACTAAAAACTACAAAATACTACTTAGTAAAACAATGTAGCATACAGTGCTGTCATTCATATGAGTACATGACCTAAGTTATTGTTCTTTGAAGCCATAAAATACTATAGATAAGACAGTGTACCATACAGTGCAGCTGCCAGCGCTCTATGGTGCCACCAAAGCAGTCGCATTTGCACCTGTAAAATGATGCTATGCAACCCAATGTTTAATTCTTATCGCCCATGGCGACCATGATTTGTGCCTGTTGGTTGCCCACCTTGTCAATCACATTTCACAAACGATTGCTGCCCAGATTTCTTCTATGAGCACCGAGTGATGTGTCTCTATGATCCCGCATTTTTTTCCTGTGTCTTATTACGTGCACAGCATGAGCCCACATTCACTGCACCCTAGCTTGCATGTAGGTACATACATGTATAAGCACGTACAGGTACTAGGTACCAGAGTCGAGTGGTTTGTGGTCACATGCTGTATAAAGTGTGTGGGAACTGAGACGTTTCGCATTTTCCTTAGATGCATTATGCACAACACGATTCCAGTGCAATAAACTTATTTCAGTCCCAAAAGTAAGTTTGAAGGGTTTCAAGTTTCCCTTGGTTTGGTCCAGTCCCAGCCTCCCAGGCACGAAATGCTCAAACGTAAAAGAACAAACATGCCTTGTCTTTTCTTTCAGCTGTTTTCTTCATATAATTAGTTGCCACTTTTTATTTATTCCACGAGCACAAAATCCAAAGACTGTCTGTCCTGCAGATAAGTGACAGAATAATGTTTCTGTGTGTTTTGTCAAATGTTGTACTTGTAACTTGTGTATTTTGAAATGTGTGTATATGTACAAAAATTGACCTGGCGCCCAACTTTTTTTCTAGGAGTCAGTGGCTCCTTATCTTAATTTTCTCTGAACAGCACTGGCTGTGGCACCATGATTACATGACTTTATGTATGAGTAACAATGGAAGTGCTCTAGCTAGAAGTAGTAATTTGTAGCACTTGGTCCTTCAGGCTCAGACTACTAGAAGTAGTTATTTGTAGTACTGAGTCCCGTACCCTAGGTGATATGCCAGGCGGTTAGTGTTGAAGGGAAATACAATGTAAAGTCTGTGATCCATTCGCTGTAGACTTGTCTGGTTCCTATTTCCAATGCACACAACTGGTGCAAAAAAGTACACAGAAACAAGTCTAAACTCGTCTAATAATAAGCCAATTCCCCATTCCGTCTCCATGTTGATTATGGCGCCCCCGCACAATAAAGTGAACAAAGCCAGAGGGGAACAAATTGTCTACAATAACAATCGCGAGCAGCAGTTAAATTTGCCAAACATCACGCAATGTTCTTGTCATGGATTTGTTTCCTTCTATTAAATCTTCTGAGCATGCGCACATAAAACGTGAAAAAGGATAGCAACTGTGAATTCATATTCTAGTCCTAAAGGTCCCAAAGTGACCCACTGTGAAAATGAGTTGACTTTTGTCCAGAGCCACTTTTGAGTTAAAGCCTATAAAGATCTTTGAAAGAATCTTGCTTTTTGTTCAGTGTTTTTACATGTAGGGTCTACACAGTAAGCATAGAAATATCACAGACCCAGTTTTCACGGCGCCATACATCAAAAAATATACGGTTTGGGAAAGCTTTAGGGTGCTCATAATTAAGTCCAAACTCTGAAGAATACACCGGTGTAAGTAAAATTGTTGAGTCATTCTCATTTCAGAAGATATTAGGATTTAAAGTTTGTGACAATTCTGCAGTTTGGATTTCAGGCGTTTAAGATATGCCTTGAAGTAGGGTTATGGTGGCGACAGATAAGAGACAGATTGTAAAAGAGAGCCACTGCAGCCCTATTTGTAGGGTTACTGGCAACTATACGGTCATGCACATTTTTAAGCATGTTAGGCATGTTAAGGTAGGAATTCGCAACATTTTTAAATCTACACAACTTCCATTTTCACCATACCAAACATCGCCAAACCAGCAAACTGAGTGAAACATTAAAACAAAGACATGAAAGAGTTCAGTTTCATCAATTCAATACGAAGTAGGAAAACTCAAATGTCATGAATTTGGCTCTGGTGACTTAGTGACTCATTTTCACAGAGTCAGTCATTGTTAGAAAAGGCGATTCGTAGTGAGTCCTAACTCAGTTAGTAGGCCCTACTCAGAGCTCGGGGTATCGTTAGCTAGTCAGCACGGTTACTGGTCAATCATCATCATGCAGTCATCCTGCCAATCACCATGAGCCCGGCATGCCCAGGCTACTCGCGCCTTCGTTCAGTGTCTATGATAAAGCGAGGATTGCCCTTCAACAAACAGTACTCACTTGTTAAGGACACACCGCGAGGCCGTGTCATAACTTCTGACAAACCCATGGGTGGAACATTGAGCAAAAAGACACTGACCACAGTGATCAGTGACTTCAAAGGCATTTTCTTCTCATTCGCCATTTTCTAGCTGTCCTGTGTAGATCTCGTCTCCAGGGGGGAAAGTACGATACATGCTCTCTGAAGTGCTCCTGGTTTCATCTAGACAATTTGGGAGCGAGGTTTAACCAACGTGTACCGCACCGCGGTACCGAACGTGTACCGTGAGTGTAACTAGTCTTGGCTCAAGACGTTACTATTTATCTGGTGCACGAACCAGCCACTGCAAGAGGGCGTAGTCATGGCCGATAATTACCGCTTATGAACCGTCAGTTGCTACTACGTGCTGGCCTACATAGCATATACATGTATCTATATCATTTAGCCAGCAACATGTCATCTTCTGACACATCCTGCTAACTTTTAGAACACACTACGTGTGGAGTGGCTTGATGACACTTACTGAAAAAGATTTATCTCCTTAAATGATTCCAAAGATGGAGAGTTTACCACCTCATTTGTTAACCTGTTCCAGTCTACTACGGTTGTTACGAAGAACGAGTTCTGAAAGGCTTTGGGTTTATGATGTCGAATTTGTCTAACCTCCTGATTGTTTCCCCTTTTAGATCTTTCTTTAGGTTGAATGTACTCTTGAAGTGGGACTGCGACCAGACCCTTCACCGTCTTGTACCTCGATCATACATAATATTTGCTTTTTCCTCTTTTTTTTGCTTTATTGCAATTTTCTTTGGTATGCAGATTCTGTTTCGAAGTGTTTGGAGAGGTGAAGACCCAGGTTTGGATGAGTTCTTGGCCACAAAACTGGTATTTGTGGTGGGGTCGGTTTCTCTTTCCAATAGTCATAGTGCAACATTTGTTGGGGTGAAACTTCATTAGTCATGTGTCTTGTCACTTTTAATTTGTGCTCGGCCCTTATTGCCAAAAATTGGTAGCCAAGGAATTCATTAAGGTGCCCTCTCAGCCAAAACATGTTACTTAAAAGTAACATCCAATTTTATTTTATTATGTATTGAAAATGTCTTTGTACAGTAGCAGAAAATTATATGATTTTTTTTATATGTTAGAACACAACAGCAAATTAGGCGACAAAAATGTTTTCCAAACTGACTAACAATCCTTTACTTTATTCTGCCTCTGATTTGTCACTTATTCTTCAAGTAATTTTGAGCGAAGTGTTTTCATGAATTTCTAACTTTCTAACTGAGGCACGCTGCGACGGCCCACAAACAGCATATCATCGTCAAAGAGCTGCGATTGCTGCACTTTGTGATTACCGTGATATCAGCCCTTTCCAGCACCCTCGGGCCTTGGGCGACGAGTGAATGCTCGTCAGCGCATGTCGCCTGCACGATGCAACGGCCAAAACAGTAAAACTGTTCTTGGGGTAAGACAACCCGAAATGTAGCCTCATCCCCGGCCCTCAGATATAAAAGGTCATATGATATAAAAGGTCATATATGACCTAAACACTTTTGCTCTTTCAAAGAAAATAATTCTAACTATAAAATTTATTATGTGTTTGTGAATAAGGGATATATAGTAATAAGCGTCCTTTCCATCATCCTTTTCATCAGTAATTAATATGCAAAAAACTAAATAAGCAAATAAAATTTAAACTCCATCATTTACATTTTACATATTGCATCCATTACATATTCATGGGGGCTCCGTGGGTTTTGGTGCACCCGACAGTCTCTTAAGCTATACAAATGGGATTAAGGCGTTTGGAATTGACATGGCGAGGAAAATGTTGGCTAATCATGTTTATTTAAGAAAGTTGGTAGCATGGTGCTCCGAACGAATCCCCCCCCGATGACCTCTCATCTCCATTTCGTGAGTCACAGTGGCGATACCATAGAAATAAAGGGTATTTTGAAGATGCATTTTACAATAGAATGAAACAATATAAAGCAAATCTCCACATTTTAACCCCTAAACAATACACCACTCGCTGCTTCTTCGACTATGTCGGTGAGGTATATTTTGGATACTTTGGACTGCCTAGCCTTGAGGCCACAGATATGGAGCGTCAAAAGTGGACAGCCCCATTGTTCTCTTTTTTAGCAAGAAGATTTTCGGGATGGCGCGTCAAGAGTAGACAAAACTTCAAATTCCCACTGGCAAAATTATTGTCATGCTCCAAAAGTGGACAACCCCATTTTCTCATTTTCTGCTAGTAGATTTTCGGGTTTGGGAAAATTGCGTAAAGAAATTATTTTTAGCTTTTGGCATTCAAAGTAATTTCCACCATAATCAGTTAATAATTTTCGTCAATCTTGGACATATTATTTTCAATAATTTCCTTTAGAATAATACTCCCCTCTATACATCCCTTAAAATTCACATCTTTGAAAAAGGCCCGATTTTTTTTTACAAAATTAGCGATATAGAGATAGAAATACAATTTGCACGAAAAAGGCCAACCACAGCAAGGGAATTTCCGATGCTCGTCAACGGACGGCGGGTCAATAAATGAGCGGGCTCCACAAGTTTGCGGTACTACAAAGTACCGTCACTCTGTTGTTGTTGTTGTTTTGTTTTAATGGCGCTTTCAGCAAATCAGGCTATTTGCGCCAATAACTGTAGTTTATTCATACACTTTATTAATCAGCATCACACTGGAGTTAGAAAGAAGGTCCAGTCTTAGAGGCAGGCGGAAACCGGTGTACCGTCACTCTGGCAGCCGCTTCGCACCCTTCGTCCACACTCTGGCAGCCGCTTCGCACCCTTCGTCCACACTCTGGCAGCCGCTTCGCACCCTTCGTCCACACTCTGGCAGCCGCTTCGCACCCTTCGTCCACACGATTTTTTTATGGGTCGGGTGATGCCAATCTTCCCAAGACCATTCCATTTCAATGTAGGGAGAAAAGTGCCCTTTCAATTTTCAACTACATGTAGTCCACTTTTGGACCCATCCGCCGTCGTCAAAGTAAAATCCAAATTTCTGCTAGCAAAAAAAATGATTCTTTTTTTTTAAAGGGATGATGCAACTTCAAAAAACCCAAAAATCTACTGGCAGAAAATGAGGTTCTCCTCTTCGGGAGCATCACATAAAATTTGGTAGCGGAAATTTGAAGTTTTTAGTTGTCTGTTTTTACAAGCTACGAAGACTTCTTCAAGTAAAATCCAAATTTTTGTAGAAAACTGAGTTTTTGAAAATGCTTTAAGCAAATTAAAAATCCCGAAAATCTACTAGCAGAAAATAAGAAATGGGGTTATCCACATTTGGAGCATGACAATAATTTTGCCAGTGGGAATCATATCCAAAAGAAAAATCAATTCGAAAAGAAAATAAATATCATAAAATGGACTTTAATTTGATGTACATCTTGAACACCTGAGAAACTTTTGAGTATTTTTCCTTTTTTATGTTAAGGTAGTTATCACTGTAGACTACGGAAGTTTATTTAGCAGTCTGCACCACCGATCGGTATAATAAAATCGAGATCAGTGGTCTGCACATGGAGCGCCCTCTATGAGCGTATTTCTAATTATAGTCGGGTTACATGCACAGTAGTATGTAACGTGCCCGTTTGAAGCGGTGGCACACGGCTCGTAACCAGGCTTACCTGTGATTACCGTGAACCAATGGCATGTTTCGGCGGTTGTTTCGTCGTATGTGTTATGTACGTGCGTATAATACATGTACTGTAGGCTTAAATGACGTGGCCTATGTAGTAATTTTTGTAGTTTTATGATGTTTGGAAGTTCATTCAGTTTTGGAAAGCCGCTGGACTTTTCACTTGATTAAAAGGTATGATAGGCTTTTGGTTATAACTCAGGCATAACTGGCTAAGATGTTTAACATGTTTAGGCCTAGGTTCCTACAGGCAACTTCCCGTCGTCGCGGTTGCAAAGAGTTCCCTACTCAAACATGCCAAACTAGGACAACACTTGAGGCCCTGTGCACAAACATGACAAACCTATTAGCAGTAAGTAGTATGAGACTCGTCTGAAAAAACCAAAGGGAGAGAGTTCCACATACGGGCAACACTAATTTTCCCTTAAAATGTAATAACAGTTTTTAACAATCATCAGAAAGTGATCCTGTGTCCGAAAAAGTTTTCTGAAATTTAGCTAGGAACCAACTCAATAACAAATTGCGTAAATTAGTATGTTCACTGTTTACAAAAAAGGATGGAATCCACATTTATTTTATACGACAGTGTCATGAATTTTACAGGTCTCATGCCTGGACTGCATTGTCTAAAGCTTCATGTACTGTAAAACATGAGGGGCCAAAGCTGTGGAGCTCAATTTACAATTCATTAAAAAAATGCAAGTTCCTCTATATTTAAGCGTAAATATAACTACAAATTATTAACTATTTATCTCACAATTATGTGTATATACCACAGGGATACAGCCTACATGTTACTGTTTGTATTTATTTCTGCATTCTATTTTTTCTAGTTAACTAGTAATAATGTTTGTAGTTCTTATAGTGTTTTCATAAGTATCTATGGGTCCTCCACTCGACAAGCAATGCTTCTTGGGGGTCTCCATCAACTGAATATGTACTATTGCTATCTTTTTATATTACATGGAAAATAAAGTGCAGGGAAGCAAATATCATCATTCACGGACTACTTCCAGAACTGTGAGTAACTTAGTGTAAGGCTTACTCATGGTAACCATGTACAAAGTCTGTTGCTGACTTGTACAGTGTACATGGGAGTTTATGCTACCTGAAAGTGTCAGTTGTACATGGATGTTTTTGTTAATTAATGGCAGAGTTTGGCAAATTAAAGGTACGGGTGCAGACGTGATCCCATTTTCATCAAAAGGTTGCTACACCTGTTTGCATGCTGAGCAAGTTGTTTCTTTTCTTACCTGTAGGATTTGCCACGCAGAAGGCTTGACTCAGGAAAGCTGAGATGAATGAACCGTTATTTAACAATGTTGTGGTAGTGTGCATGAAGTGCACAGGACATGATGACAGGTAGGATAACTGTTCATGTAAGAATTCATAAATTGTTCACGCAAATAGCAGTGTTCTCTCTCAGTACTTCCTGATTACTGTGACATTAGATGTATCTCTTAGTGGGACACTGAGTGCATGCACATGTACACTGATGAATATTCCAGTGACTGAAGTGAAGAAAGTGTCTTACACGTCTGCTTTCAGCACTGCCAGATAGCAGCAGTGTGTAACTGGTCATCTGAGTTTAAGAAACTTTGGTTAAAAATCGTTGAAATAAACAGCATTTCTGCTTTGCAGTGGAATCAAGTTCCAGTTAAACTTGTGGGCACAGTGCGATAAGTTCCTGCAAAAGATCTGCTGTTGATATATAAAAACATGCCATATCCTGTTCCCACTAATAATGCGGCCAACAATTTTCCTCAGACATTGAAGTGTATTAATATCTAGCAGAGTGGGAGATGGGGGGGCAGGGGCTGTGCATGCCAGTTACTTGTTTTCCTTATAAATGCTTCATTATCCAGGACCTCGTCAGTCAGGGTTCAGCTGGAACTTCAGACTTCATCATCACCATTACAGAGAAAAGTAAGGACAAACAAAAGATGAGAAACTACACGTATCACAACAGGTGTAATGGGCATTTGTAAAGTCAGTGATACCCCTGTCTAGTTAATAATCAATTTTCTAGAGTGGCCGTGTATATTGTAACACTGTACATTGTGCATAGCAGTACAGAGAAGACGATATAAAAGTCAAATGGGATTGGATCGAGTGAGTTACAGTGTAAATCTAGTTCCTGAAACAAAACCATGTCTAGAAAGTTACATGTACAGTATGGTACCCTGTTTACATAGAATTCCTTTTGCCACTCTGTTGTAACTAGTCCTAAGTGAATAGACATTTAGACATGTATCCTTGGGTTCCAATGCAGGATCTGAATGTGCGGCTCACTGATGATACTGATCCATTCTTTCTCTTCAACCTTGTACTGGGAGAAGAAGACTTTCAAAGGTTTGCCTGCTCTTAATGGTATTCTAGTAGCTGTCTGCACAGTTGACTGGGGGCGGTCTTGTTACTGCTGTGCTTAAATTTTTGATGTGCTAAGGGTAACATGATCTCTCCTTGAGCCAAGTCTTAGGCAGTATACATGTAGGCCAGAAAGCATCATGCTGTTTTGATTTGTTGTAGTTCTCAAGGTGACTTTAATGTACTGCACATGATTTTTTTTACCCATTGCAAGCAAGTTTCCTTGGGCCACCTTCAAGTAAATACTTTTTATTTCTCAGGTGACTGTGCTGGACAGCCATGGTAGTCCTGCATGGCTGCATTTGAGATCAACCAGTAGTGCTGATGTTTAAAAGCACTTGCAGACTTTGTAGTTTTCCAGCTTTCATGGGAAAGGCCACCCATGCGGGTATTACCCAGTCTTACCATGTGTACCCCTTTGCTTCACATGTACCTGCCAGTATGTGTGTTTCTTGTGTTTTTTTTTCCAGCCTTAAAGTTCAACAGGGATTGTTGGTTGACTTCACCGCTTTCCCACAAAAACTTATTGAGTTGTTGCAACGATGTGTTGAAGAACAGCACAGAGATGCTCCAAAGTAAGTCAAATAAAAGGGCTGTCAAAGAAATGTACAAAGCCTTGAAGTTGCAGTCTTATAGTAACATGCATTAATCTCAAGAGGAGTTTGATGTACTCAAAAAAGAACATTTCAGTTGGAGCAGAGAGCTCCACAACCCAAGTCACTGGTGCAGTAGTGTGATTTCCACACTGATGAAATTGCCAATGGTATGTATGCACATTCTGCATGTACATGTACGTTGCGAGCTTAGTTTCAACCCAACACACATGTTAGGTCTCAAGGCACTCTCATACACCAACTCTTGTGAAAGTCCTGTTCACACTCGCCGCTAGTGAGAATCTGAAGTCAGGTTGACGTCAAATGTGCTGTGGAGAGAATAATTTGGAAGGGTAACAGACTGAAATTTCTATTCCAAATGGTGAAGTTGAATGGAATAGAACATGATGTCATGTAATGGAATATTCTATCCATTGCATGAATGTGTAGCAGTGCAATGTTTGTTTTATAAAATGCCTGAACAAGCATGATAGGAGGTTCTCACATTCCCAGTCATGACTGGAAGTTGGTCCGTGAAGAGCTGCCACCTTGCAATTCTCTTCTCTGGATACTTGTAGTATGTTCTTGAATGATTGTGGAGCTTCGACTTTGCCTGTCGTGAGTGTGCATACATGTAGTTCAACACTACAGTGAATATCAAAATGTCACTGTTAAATATACTGAATAATTCAGTGACTTAATGAATAGTTCAGTGACACATGATTGAGGTGTCAATTAATTATTTATGAAGTCATTGTGTAAAGAAAATAAGTTAGTGGAATTTTGCAATAATTTGTTCGTCAGAATCCAAAAGTATGCATTTACCGTTTTAGTTCGTGGCAACCACGATCCGATTTGTAGATAGAGTGTTTTTCACTGTCTTCTCATTCAGATTTGTGGTGCAGTTGATGTACTCAGAGCCCCTGAGCCATGGTGTGGCTGAGCTATGCATTGTGGAGACCAACCCCTTTAAGCATCTGACCCACCTGGCCCTGAAGCTACAGCCGGGTAGTGATGCTGATGTCAAGAAGTATCTTGCAGCCTGTTTGAAGCAGTTACAGGTAAGATCTGCTGATGTACTGCTCTCAGGTTACCATCAATAGTGCCAAAATCACTTTTTAACTCAGCGTAGAGCCACTGGTCTCAGTTGCGAGACCAGTGTTGCAACCTGGTTTGGTCACCTTTAACGTCAGGAACCTAGTCTGGCCTCAAGACTGGTTTTACTGTTTGGCTGGTGCACCGGCGTTTCCGCAGTGTGCATGAGCACTTATATGTGAATATAGCACCCTCTGGTAGTGTTATTTGGCTGTGCTCGCCAGCACATGTCGCCTGCACGATGCACTGCCCAAAACTGTAAAACCATTCTTGGGGCAAGACCAGGGCTTTCCCTGAGCACAGAAAAAACCTTCCAGTCTGCCTCTGGCCAAGTCCCATTGAAATGTGTACAAACATTGCTTACCACGTGCCTCAATGGGATTATTTACATCGACAGCACTGGTCGACTTGGGCCTGTCCTAAATAATGTCAACAACCCAGTAAGGGGTGCCAGGTCTCTGTGATGCTTGTTGACAACTTGACACATGTCTGGGTTTTTCCATGGTGGTTGGGGAAGGGAGGGGGTTGATCGTGGCTTGCCTGCTGTGGGACCCCCCCCTCAAATCCAGATTGACCTTCTCTCTCTGGTTTTTAATAGTTACAGGGCCCAGCAATGCCATTAGAATGGAATGTGGACTCCAAACCACAATAATAGGACCGGCTTCTGTAGGGGAGACTGGTGACGCAAACGCGTACAGTTCAGGCCCAACTGTCACTTTGAAAATACAGATAAGGAAAACCTACCCCTCCTGTCCATTTGTTGTATGTGTCAGGCCATGATTGGACCACTGTCAATGGAAAGCAAATGCCAAATACCTCAGTTTTCTGTCTTTCCTGCTAAGCATGTCTCTCTGTACTTGCAATGCATCATTAGACCAGACAGATTCCATTCTTGTAGACTGATTGGCATGTCCAATTGATGCTTAACTTGGAAGAAATGGTGGGTCAGATAACTGAGACCATAGTATAATTCTTATGAAATTCATCAACTTTTTTTTTCAGGGTGACCATAACACCTTATCCCAGAGACTTAAACTGACTGAATCTACACTTTCTAGCCAGCTGCAAGAATCTCAGAAGGTATAGAATTTTCAAAAATCAGTCTTCATTGCTGTTGCATCAATTTAAGTTGTTCTCTGTTCATTTGAGTAGAAAATAATTTGGTACATGTATAGTGTACAAATGTACATCTTCTGTTAGTTTAGGGTTTTATAAGTAACAAAACTCACATGAGTGTTGGTTCTCGTAACTGTAGCCCTTTAAAGCTAGAACTATGTAAATCCATGCTTAAGCACAACATACCGATATCTTGTGTCGTTCTCATGTGACCTAAGTGTAGGTACTTGTAGATTAAAAGCAATTGTAAACAAGCACATGTCATGGTTAAACATTGATGGCCATGTGTGCTGAAATTTTTTTCCAATATCAATTTCAGTTTTGGATGAATTAACATCAAATTCGATAAATTGCCCGCTGCCTTGATATGCAACTAAAGTATTGATTTGGTGGCAAGTACATCTATAGATAATAAAGTGGAAAGTGACAAGAATTTTGACATCAAATTAATGTAATGGACAAATACACCTGATATATTACCTGCTAGAACCTTGACAACCACGCATGTATCTTCAAATGAACCATTTGCTAAACAGAAAATTTGCAGTGAACATATTTCATTCACACAAATCTGAGCTTTCTTTTTTCATTTGAGAATATGACTTCTTAGTATTGCCAAATGTATTCCAGGTTTATATTATAAACTTAAATTCCTCAACCAGACAGTGGCAAATAAACCTCTTGATTTAAAAAATGTAAATACAAAGTAATCAGCAATTTTTGCCATTAACTTTAGAATTATTTGCAATTTCTGTGTGTCCTTTTCTGAAATCACTGTATGTATGTGTTGATTTTTTGTGAACTTCACAGATTTTCATTTGGGATGTCCATCACTTTGAGTAGCATTCAGACTTACAGACGGTGTCATTTTGGCACTTTAAACACTTCCAACAATTCGACAACTTGGAATTTTGTCAATTGCTTAACTTGGGTGCATTGAGGTCTTTGCCGAGTCTCCGAATATCAGATGGATATCTACATGTAACTACTGTGTATTTATTTCTTAAAATGAGTATTCAGCCGTGGAAATCAATCAAATAAGGGAAAACTTTCAACTATTTGATTAAAAATCAATTTGTATTTATGTTACGAGTTATAATGTAACTATAATATGGTAACTGATGCATATGGACGACAATAAAGCCAAAAAAGGCTCTTCCTTCCTTTTGTAATTAAACTTTCTGTGGTGTGTGATATTGCTGGGACTGATGATGTATGTATCATCAGTGAGGACTGAAAACATGTTGGACTCCCATCCTCGTTTCGCTAGGGGATGGACCACCGCATAAACATAATGTACACTTTGCTTCTGCTGTCATCAGATTTTGGTATTGATAACTTAATATTTGAGCAAATGGGGAAAACCTTTAATTATTGGTTGACTTGGCCTCGTTCACATTCATATTAATTGTCAGAATTTGTTCACTTTCCAGTGGAGGAACTCTGGTACATGTAATTCATTGTTTTTCACTTACCATTTGTTTTGCCAGGCACTATCAGCTCGGACTCGTGAGTTGGAAAGTCTAAGATCAGAATGGAGTGCTCACACAGAAAGCTTGGTTGCAAAACACAAGCAAGAGATAGCTGAAATCAAACAAAATGCCTTACAGGTATACGTATAGTGCTTGAATGAATTCCAAACATGCAGTGAAAGCAGACCTTCCATGTATTTTGTAGAGGAATATTTTGTACTGTGATGTCCTATACTTTATGGTCACAACATACTGCGGACCTGTGTCCCTTTATTCTCAATGGTTTGCCGGAATGGCATATGTATATGTACATGTATTGCACCCTGCAGCATGGCCCTGGCTAACTTGACAATTCTTGTCTTGTCACCCACTAATTCTACAAGCATGTATAACAACATGTACTAACAACACAGACTTGCCAACCAGTACAGACTTTGGGGTGTACCAGCATGCACATGTACATGTAGGTTAAGAGTATGCCAAGATTGCAGTATCTCCCTATGTGGAAAAGTTCCATCAGATTTTGCAATGGTTTTGAATAGTTAAACTTACCAATATGGATGCAGGCACCCACTTTTTGGCCGGGTGTTGGCTAGTAGGGTACCTTCTTACAAATCTAGACCAGTCCAGCTTTGACCGTGTAGAGCTAAAAAAAAATTTCCATAGTTTGCATAGAAATCCAGTCACCAGTGTAATGTACTTCTGTGTGTTTGTATTCAGACTCAGCGAGATTTGGAGCAAAGGTATGAGTTAGAGAAGAAGACAATGGACGAGAGGAGACTACAAGGGTCTTCTGAACAGCAGGCCAAGATGGCTGAATTACAGACAGCCAATAAGGTAATTCTTGTAAAAGTGGCGCAATATTGGAAACAAGTCATGGAATTGGGTTCATATCATCACAGCATCTGACCTTATGCTCAAATATTAAAATTACTATGTATCTGTAGATTGTGCATTTTACTTTTAGACATGTTGACTTTGTCAAAAAAACACTGGACTGGAATAAGGGCAGGTCAATGGCAAGCAGCCAGGGTTCTTGCTTAGATAGACTGGTGCATGTACATGGTCAATTCTTCCTCATTGCTGTGAGCATTAACCACAGTCTATATTAAACTAATACATCATCATATCCATGAATAATATGCCGCAGTGAAATCTGAGCATCTCCAAGAATGCAAAGTTCTTTACTTCCTTAATGACGGTTGAGGAGTAAAGGGACCCTCTAAAAAGAAGAAAGAAGCCCTTCAAGATCTGTGAGAAGTGACATTGTGACGGCTGGGTGGTTGATCTGTACACTTTTGTAGGCCTACCCCAGTATGTGCACCTGCATACAAACAATTGTTGGAAATAGCCTGGATCGACTGGCAAAGGTTGATGCTGTCTTTACTGCTCAACCCCTTTCTCCTCCCAGGTTGGAACTAAATTTATACAACAAGCAATTGGGTATGCTTTTGTAGTCACACTGTCTTTGGTAAACTTCTTTTTTAAATTCATTTTTATGAAATCAAATAAATGTAGACTTGACAATTCACAGGATGGGTGGAGAATTCAGTTTTCATTGGAGAGTTTTCTTTTCTTTGTTCTCAACTTACTGCCAGGATTGGCTGCATACAAGACAGTCAAAACTTTCTGCCACTTCTCCCTGTACAACACACATACGTAGCATAATCATTTGACCGACTGGCAATTTGGTGCAGATTACATTTTTTCAACAGTATCCCCTGGAGCAAACACAGGTGCACACCGGTTCGTAGATGCTTACACGTGCATTTATCTACTATAAACACAGAAATGTGGGCACCAGGCAAACAGCAATGGTGAAATTTAAGTCATGGTTGACCCAACTTCTCCTGTCATGAGTGGGAGCAGAGGGAGGGGTATTTGTATACAGGGTCCATTAGGTCCTGCAAAGAAATTGGCTAAGTGGGATTTGAACAACTCTGCCTAGCCTGTTTTGAATGAAGATGTTGATGTACTGGGAGACTGCATAGGACTGCATAGATCAGTTCAAAAGAGTGGTGGATGGTGCTGCAAAACTTACAAGGTCAAATTTTGCAATCAACCACTATAGACATACTGGTACATAATTTGTATGGATTTAAAGTTTCACTTGAACTAATCCAATCACAGGAGCTGAATGACAGAAAGTACCGACTGGAGTCTTCAGTTAGGGAGCTGAAAGGAAGATTGACAACCCTTGAGGAGGTACGTCCTCAGATGTGACAAAACCATGGCAACCTGGCCAGATTGGAGTCTTTTTAAAGCAAGACTGAATTACAGTACAGTCAGAATTTTAGCCGACACGCTAACATGATCAGTGAACCCGACACGCTGTTCAATACACGCTTTGTGGTTTTTACCGTGCATTGCTGGTCCAATGCACGATAAGCCTGACCCAGGATCTCATCTTGGCAGGGCTTGTGACTGCAGACCGCAAAGGTGACCGACAACGTGTAGTGAACCACTGAACACGCAGAGCCGTCGCTCCAGCTTCGTGTATGCATGTACATGTAGATGTAGTGCCTGGCTGGCAGGATGACCGTCTTAAAGTATCGAAATATGTTTGATACAGCCGTTTTCTTAGTTTGGATCACGAAAGTTGTTCAGTTGGAGTACATCTGGAAAATGTCAAATTTCATTGAAACCGGCCAGTAATCCACCGTGTGTGTTCAGTTGCTACAAAACTTTTTCCCAAATGTTAGCTTTGATTTTGAAACTCGCAGGATCAACTGGAGTGACGACTACGCTTTTCTTGCTGGTAAATGCTAGATTAGTTTTATATTTAAGCAATTCCCGATTGCGTGAGAAACTTCTTCACAAATAAACAGTAACCATGAAAGAAATCCACTCCTCAGCCAGAATTATTATAACAAGCTGATTTTACAATGAAGTTTTTCTTAATTTAGGGAAATTTAGTTCATGTATCAGAATTCCAGTAAATAACAAAAAACATCAATTGAACTTGAGTAAATTTTACTTGACTTTTTTATCAGTTGGAACGATGTTGTAATGCGACCATGCCAAGATCAAGCAATCGCGAAACTACAACCATTCCTGCACTTTCATCCCCACCCCAATCATAAATCGAAACAAGTGTATTGCATATTCATTTTGATGTGGCGCCAACAAATGCAAAGCTACAGCCCTTTTACGTCACACAATATGCATATTTATGAAGTTCATATGGGTGTTACTTTGTCCGATATGTGCAGGCAGTGCATGCATTTTGCATGTGTGTGCAGACCTGACTTCCTTTCATTTCATACGATCTTTGCCGTTTAGTTTGATTCCTTTTGGTAGATTTTCCAGCTCCAAGAACTGATGGGAAAAATCCCTGCCTCACATCAAATTTATATTCATGCGATTTTGAACATACTGAGCTCAAGTACAGTGAATACGGCAACAACAATCTACGTGTATGCTAAGATTGCCGCCATGGGGGCTGTCTTGACTAAAATTTGACCAACGAGGTCAAACCCTGTTTATGTTTTGTGGATTTCTTACAAATTAGTTTTCTCTAATTTAGGAAATGCCTTGTCATAAAACTGCTAGTTAAAGTCGTTTCGGTTGAAAAATTGATTTCACGCTCAAATATATTCTGTGCCTAATTCAGAAGTTTTTGGAGCAATTAACCTTAAGTGTTGCCTGCAGGGCACTTTCATCGATCCTGTATGGACAAAAAAACGCTTTATCTTTGAAAATGATTTTGTGATGCCTGCTACATACAAGGTAAACTACTGACCACATTTCCATGGAATTTGAAGATAACTTAACACCTAAGTGTGTTTGCGTGTCGGCTAAAATTCTGACCTGTACTGTACCTGTGCAAACTTGATGACAAGGATACATTATTGTATTAGTCAGCTGCTACATGAGTGCTTGGTGTTACTTATGCAAGCATCAGTCTTTTTGTGAATACATGTACGTATACCTACTGTAATGAAATATAGCACTGTTGTCGAGTAAGGTGGTATTGTTTGTTTTTAGGAGATTTTTGGGGATATAAATTCAGAATAGGGAGAGATTAATTTTCAGGAATTGGAAGTTTTGAAATTACTGCATTCATGGAAAGAAAAAGTTTGATCAAAAGGGAAGACCAGTCTTTCCTGATACACAATTGAATAGGTATTAAATGGTCTGACACCTGTTTCAGACAGGCATACCAGTATGTAGTTGGGTCACAATAAACATAAAGTGATCTACTGGTCCATTCAAACTACAGCTTGCATGCTTATTAAGAGTGTTCAATGTGCAGCCAGAAACACTTGTAGAGACTTAGTATAACCATTGGGAAAACACTGCTTATGTTACTGGCCCCATTTATTGTATTTTGTGTCTTCCAATTAACAGTTTCAATTAACCTCTGGAGGCACATGTATATGGTAAACCACTGATGTACCCATTTTTGAAGAAAAATATTTTGATTGTCAGTGGAAACTATACCTATCTGTCTCCAGAGGTTAGATGGCTGTAAGCAAACTTTACCATTGAATGGTGCACTTAAATGAATTGCTCTGCAGGATTATCAGAGGGCCCAGCATGATCTGCAGATGCTGCGACAGCAGCGTGGGAGTCTGGAGTCAGACCAGCGGAGCCGAGAACAGACTGTGAGCCAGCAGCAGACTCGCATTGCTGTCCTGGAGCAGGAGGTTAGGGACAAAGAGGACTTGCTTGCTAAGAGCAATCAGCTGATGGAATCGGCCAATGAGCAAAAGGTAGACATCTTGAAGCAGTTACCAGGGTTGAAACTGCAATATGGGCGATTCATAACAGTGCACCTCCAAGAGTTTGCAACACGCTAGCCAATCACGATGTGCGAAATCTGTTGACCCAACGCGCGTTTGGAAAGGGTAAACAGATTTTGCACGTTGTGATTGGCCAACACGTTGTAAACTCTTAGATGCCTACTACTGTGAATCTCCCATATTCAGTATCTACATACACAGCAGGGATTTGGAGGCATTTTATGCACCTGTAGGCCTTCAATTTAGGGCAAAAATATCAGAGAGTCCATTTATTTCCAGTTTTCATAGAGTCATTCTACAAATTTGGGGTTCTCTTTCTGGTCCCTGTTACCTCAAGCATTAGTTTGTAAACGCTGGAGGCACTTTGTAGTGCATTCTTGTTGGTTGTGATTGTAGTCATCAGCCTGCCAAACCAACAAATCAATTACAAGAAAGTTCAGTGTCCTTGTTTTTAATTATCCACCAAAAGGTGTTTGTTCTGTCATTACTGTTTGTATGTGTAGATGTGCAATTGCTCTGAGAGATTGTATGCTTTTTTGTAGAATGTTTTGCATCAAGATTATTCTATCTGATTGTAAAAAAGAGATTGGTGTTATTTTGGCAGGCCAAGCTTGAAGAGAGCATTCAGCATAAGAACAGCCTGGTGACAAAGTTGGAAAGTGCTATCAAATCAACATCACATGAAGTGATGAAGGTAACTATGATAGTTGGTCTATGCAAAACATTGAGGTTGAATTTCCCACTGTCATGGCATTGCAGTAGAGTTTACTCTTGTTCCACATATTGAAAGTGAATTTCAGAGACAGTTTCAAAATTGTCAAAAGTAAAAGAAGGAAGGAATTTTATTCAACTCTGAACTCACACCTTTCTTTCAGACCTAGCAACGCTTTCAGAACTTCTGAAATAGTATCAATTGCAGTATGCTTTGCCAAGTTGACTTTCACTGTGGTCTTATTGGCATGTACTGCAGATTACAGGCCTTACTAGGGCATGCTAGGATATTTCAGTTAGTTGCCCTTGAGGGGTTGAGTCCCTCAGAGGTTTCCAAATTTTTAAGTTTTGTGTTTACTTTCTGAAAAATGAAGGCTCAATAAACGTGTACATCTCAAACTACTGACATAGCTGTACATCCCAGTCCCCTGTGGCACAACTGGGGAGGGGGGAATCATGAGTTCTTATTGGGGTAAATTCCAGTCTGAGTGCCCCCCCATGACAAATCCCTGGGTGTGCCAGTAGCAGTGTTAGGGCGGACACTTTTCAAACTTTGTATATAACTTGTTCCCCGGGATCTTCCCAAATGAAAACATAGTTTTGGCAGCAGTGTACATCCACTGTTTTAACTGGAATAGTTCATTAACCCCTTGACGACGGGAACTTTTTTCTTAAAGCCGACTCCGAGAATTCCAGCTTTGCTTGGCCACAAAGGCCACCTGCCAAACCGCAAATTCTCGGTTTGTGGCCCTGCGTGCTCTGCACACTTTGAATTTCACAGTGAAAAGCTGATTGTTCGGTGGCATGCGGCCCTACTCACGCTTCCACATTTCCGTTGCCTCTTTTCAAAGTGGGGACTATTGTGAAGCTGGTGATAATGATGCAAATTCGGTCTTTTCATTTCTGGGCTACACACAAAGGCCAATCTCCATATATACAAGAGCCAGGGTCTGCCTTCTTTCACTGTGTTTGCTGAGCGGGCTAAGGATCTCAATTTTTACAGCGTCTTTTACCGTCATCCGTCGCGAAGGGGTTAAGGAAAGAAAATTGAAAAAAAACCAAAAACTTTTGCACTGTGATGAAGCCACGTGCAACCTGTAGACCTTTAAACTGGTGTCGTGCTTATTTCAATTTATTGGAGGTGGTTGTGAACAGAAACGAACAAAGAATGGCACTCAACTGCCAAACCCCCTCTGATTTTTGTCAACCTTTTCTCTAGTGTAATGTTCTTGGCCCAGGCTTTGAATTTTGCACTGGACTGTTGAGTTCGTTGTGTTATTCTGTTTGGCAACCCACAAGTTAATACTATGATACAGGAAGTACAAAATGAACCTTAGAAGCAATACCCATGCAAGTTTAGAGTTGGTGTTATTTGTTCATCTTGTGTGAAGGTGCATTCAAAGAGACATTATTTCTTCAATTCATTCAATGTAATAGAAAAGAGACTGGCAACTGCAATGCTGGTACTTATGTCAGAAGTACACGGATGGTCTTGCAAAGCTGTTTTCTGTCCAAGTAGTCCAGAGACTTTTAAATAAATTCCAACCCTGCAGCCTTTAAAAAGTCTGAAGCAGGACTTGAACCCACAGCTTCCTGTTTATGGCTGCAGATAGCTTGATTGTGGTTATGTCTTCAGTACTTGCCAAGAGCTGGATGTTATAATGTATGCATTATTTCCAGCCACGTCCAAGTAACTGGGGACTAGATCAAAATCTCACAGAGATTCCTTGTGTCACCTTAGTAGTGATTTCGACTCTGTCATGTGCGGAGGTCAAAACAACATAGGGCAGTGTTCCTTAGAACTTGAGTCTTTTGCATTTGCAGGGAAATGAGATCATAAAAAAGTTGCAAGGGGAGCTGAAGGCTTCATTAGCAAAGGTGAGTTGAAATAAATCAAGAAAAAAGTATTACAACACACTTGCATTTTAGCTGAACTTGTAGAGGGAGCCAGTGAAGTTGAAGAAGCTTCTGTCTGAAATGAGTCATTCTAAACATCTTAGTACAATGCCAAGTCAAACAGTCCCTCTTATGCTCCAGCATTATTGATGTCAACTATTTTAGCGTTTTCATGTGAGATCTGATTTCCAACTCCTCCCTCAACTGATGTACCTGTGTCTGCCTTGGTCATCCCAAAATGAAAAGTGTCAAAACTATGCAGGGATGGAATGTAAAATTGGCTGTTCATCCCATTTAGTTTTAACTCCAAATTGATGAAGAATTAGGCCATGCCTGGAGTGCTGCCCGAGTCTAATGGATTTCTCTCTTACTCTCTGAACAGCTGAAGCTAAAGAATACTGTAACTGGCAAACAGGAGAAACTGTTGGAAGAACGCAACCAGACACTGAAGGTGCTGCAACAAGATGCAGACACACTGAAAACAAAATGCCAACAGCAGGAACATGAGGTAGTATTCAATACATGTATTATCCATGTTCACAGACACATTTGGGTGGAATTACCCAGTGTTTTTTCGGTGTGTACGTACATGTACCTTTGCTCTAAGGGTTGAACTAATTGTTCAGTCCAAATCCGTGCCCTACATCATAAGCTTTGAATTTGAATGAGAATAACAAGTCATTTGGCATAAGTCTGGATTGAGCTGTTTGATATGAGCCCTTACATCATTTCCTTTCACACTGAGTCATGTTAGTTGAGTTCTAAGTCACAAGACTGAGTTACAATTCCATTTGATTGATTTATAATTACAACTCTTGGTGTGATTCCATCTCTTGTATCACGGGTCACTTTGGGGAAAAAAGTAAAATAAGTTTCAACCATACAGCTCTCATTGAAGAACAGGTTTTTAACCACTTCGTGCCGGGGAGCCCAGTTTCGGGTATTTTGGGTTTGTACGCATAGCTGGGGTACTTGAAATTGGACAGAAGAACTGGGCCTTGTAACAAAAGACCATACTCGGAACAAAAGACCAAGCTGCTGGGAATGGCCAACATTTTTTCAGTTGTCAATAGCGGAGGAAATTCGTCATTGTTTGGAAAGATTATAACACTGTTTGTGGCATTTAGTACAAGCGGATTACCACTGGGGACAAAAGCACTCCAGTGATGAGTGATACAATATCGCTGCATGCTAATCTGGCCCGTATTGAAAAGACGCCAGCAGTGCACTGTGCCAGTTTCGGGAACAAAAGAAACTTATGTAACTCCACACAATCTGGGCCCTTTTTACAAGTTGGCAGGCCTGGCTGAAATACTCAGACATCAATAGACATACACTGTATGAAGCCAACTATGGGACAGAGAGAATCCCCCCCCGCCTTTGTGTTGGTCATTGTTATACTGGTATCTCAGGAATTATTTTCAGACATCTAGGGGGATGTGTTAACTGACAATAGGCTGGAGAGTGTACAGCGATTGGACTTGTTGTGGGGGGGGGGTTACCCTCTGTCCCATTTCGTGCCTGGTATATCAATAGATGTTGCCTGTCAGATTAGAGTAGCCACCAGACAGTAATTTGTGTGGGTGTAAATGTCCAGTAAACGAAGTAATGAATTTTTGAAGAATTTTGAATGGAAAATCTTGAAAAACGACCGTATGTGTGCACAGCCATTTTAATTGAACCCAACAGCAAGTGGTTAAGGTGGAAGTGGACCAAGTATGGAAGGAAATGGCATGTCGCTTCAAAGATGTGGCATTTTGGGTGACATTTCTGTAGCTAAATGCTGCAGTTGCATGATGTAAGCATCATATTCCACTCAAAGGGAAATTTACAAAGCAGGACATTTGTAATGTTCTCCGTGGTTGCAAAACTCCTGGAAAGTACCAGTGTTTGCCGTTAGGTGTCATTAAAACTAGTGTTTGATATCGCATGGATCTTTATGGGCATGGCAGCATTTGTATTGGTGCATACATGTATCTGGCTCACTTGTGGTTGTATTTCACAGACTGCAATACATCCTGTCAACAGATAAGGAGGGAAATAGATTAGCCGGTCAAGTATTTTAGAAAACACAGAAACAAGCAGGAAATTATGTGACTTGCTAGTCAGGAGTTCCAAGTATATAAAGTCCGAGTCATTGTCTAGAATCGAGATTTAGAAAAACTCACTTCTGAGTCAGGAATGGGAGGCCCACTGGACCATGGGATTGAGATTTGAATTGCCTTCTGATTCTGTTCCAGAATGAAAGACTGAAAGAATCGCTGGAGACCTCAAGGGCTAAATTGGAAGAAAGCAGACAGCTACTGAAAACTAACGAGAACGGTAAGACTTGAGAGAATCTCATCGAGTATATGCAAACTATGCAAAATGGAAAAGACAGACATGACAAATGGAGGCTTAAACACCACCAAGTCCATGACATCATTTAGACTAGTTCTGAAATGTTGGATTGGCTTTTATTTGACTCTTCTTTCATTGTTTCATTTTAGTCATCAACTGGTTGAATAAGCAGGTGAATGAAGCCCAGCTGAGCAAGCGACATGGCTTGTTTGAGGTTCCGACCTCCACGGTGGCCTACAGACCCCAAGGGGTAAGTTGGTAGGTTCAGTATGACAAGATTAGACTTTTTGTTGGAGAATGGTCCAGAATCTTTGGCAGTAACCGAGGCTCAAGGGCCTCAGCCACCCTTTTTGAGTTACTTGTAAATTGAAATGTTGTATCCCCAAATTAATATCGACCTCGCCATGTGAAAGGTACTGATGTTGAGATGACAATTTTAAGTCAAGCTCCTAACAAGTAAGTATTTGATGTCATATTTGAGTGGCAGACCCCATTTTGCAGACATGTGCACCAATGTGGTAGTTGAAACTGCCTCAAGACCAGACACAAGTAACGGGGTCAAGAGTCACAAAGGAATTCTTTCCTTGCATTTCATTGAAAGTGTGACTTGGATTCAGACTGGAGTCTGAGTATAATTTTCTTGAAAATGTATGCCACAGAAAATTACCGTAACGTACATGTAATTATATAACAAATCTTTTGGCTAAGCTTCAATCAAAAGAGAAATATTGAGAACAGTTGTGAGTAATCACTTACAAACCCATTTATTTGTTTTAGCAGAGGGAACTTTGAAAAGACGTGCATTTTTTTATCTTTGTACATTTTTCAAGGTAACTAATCGAGATTGTGTGCCCAAAATCAAGAATAATTGAGTTTGCCAATGGATGGGCTATAAATCTTGCTCAGGTGTATTGATGGTGCCAATATGGAGAAATTGTACACAATGGCAAAAAATATACAAACTAACCACAGAATTTTGTATGCATATAGATTTTAGATATTGCACTAACGTAAAACCAAAATAAGAATATCAGCCGTTATTCAGATTCAACTTACGAATATTTAATGAACTCCATGTGTGAAGTAGAGGATTCTTTATTACCTAATGAAAGCATCCCATGAGGCCCACACACCGTGTCCTCATACTTTGTGGTTGTGACATCGAATAGAAATTATCAGAATGCATGTAACTTCTTGCCAATCCATGTCAGCAATAGCTCTCAAGCTATGGTCCAGCCTCTCTTATAGCATGCGTTCAAAGAACTCTTTCTCCATTCATCATGTACACTCTGTACTTTACAACCCTGAACTAGTGTATGGGCAAGGTGTGTGTCAGCCGTGGTGGATATCACTTCATACTAACAGGGTGTCCCTGTCAGGTTCACATCGACAGTCTGTTGAGCAAAAGGAGAGGGAGATTTGATAAAACCAAATGCTGATAACAGAGCCTTAACATGAGGTTAGAGAACTCTGAGATACCGTATGAAAGACTTTGTGCATTGCCACTTTGCCTTTCCCTGTCTTGAGTGGTACCCCAGCAATTGCTGCAGTCATCGATGGTCTGTCTACATGCAGAAATCATAGTGTTTGAGAAAAGATAAAACTCGCATACAATTTGATTTACTGCCATCTGCAGCGAGTACCTTTGATGAACTCACTTTTTGGGGGCTTACTTTTTCTTAATTACTTAACACAGCCCGTACAGTTTTGTTTTTACCATACGATCATAAAGGTACTTGATGAGGGGTGGCCTAGTCCTGTGACGTCTGTGTAGAGGGTGACAGCCTGTTGGGCTGAGTAGTTAGTCCTCACTACTGAATTATTCAGAATGAAGCCTTGGAAAATGAGTGAGCTAGTTCAGTATTCCAACAGCATATGCCCAAACTCAAGTGCACCAAGGCTAACAGCAGCACATTTGTGCAATAGTCTGTTCTATCAATGCAGCCATACACCAATCGATGCACCTGCCTTGTTCCCAAAAGACCATCCCTGTTTGAAGTACCGTACTGGCTCATTGATATAGGTGTCCAGGCAAAACAGGCTGTGATCAGCGCCTTCTACTTGTTCCTTGTCCAACACTGTGTACACCACTCCCACAGATGCAACCTGTTGCCCCAGTTGCCTTGACTAACCATAATTATAAGGCATCCTCCCCCTTCATGGCCTTGGCTGATCGGTTCAGCTGATCGGTTGAGCTGATCGGTTCAGCTGATCGGTTCAGCTGATCGGTTGAGCTGATCGGTTCAGCTGATCGGTTCAGCTGATCGGTTGAGCTGATCGGTTCAGCTGATCGGTTCAGCTGATCGGTTCAGCTGATCGGTTCAGCTGATCGGTTCAGCTGATCGGTTCAGCTGATCGGTTCAGCTGATCGGTTCAGCTGATCGGTTCAGCTGATCGGTTCAGCTGATCGGTTCAGCTGATCGGTTCAGCTGATCGGTTCAGCTGTGCCTGTCATGGTGTTTCAGGTCCCTGCAGCAGTGTCTTCCACGCGCCCTTGGCCCATGTCCAGCACTCATCTCACCAACACCCTCAGCACCATACCCCAGTCCACCCCTACGGCCTACAACTCCTCCACAGCTAGCGTGCCCGGCACCTCCAAGCACAGGTTGGTTGGTATTAAGGAATTGGCAGTGGTTTGGTGATCAGTGGATGTAAAAGGCATGGTGAGAGCAATATCTTTGTTCTGTCATGCTTCATGAAGACTGGCATATGAGAGTCATGTTAAACCAAATGGCGTTAAGATGACCTTGAGTGGATCTGGTATACTCAATAAATCAAGTTGTGTGCAGCACTGAAGATAAATGTACGTATATACAAGTACTAGTCACTTCTCATTGCTTGATGTATGTGTCATTGCAATGTTTGCTAAAAACTCGTAGACCCTTATACAGGATAGCTGATCAGTATTGTGGGTCAATTAAAATTTGGATTCATTGATAAAATCATCCATGGGGCCTATATTCACCTTCAGCAGGGTGCCGGGAGATTGTGGGATTCTCAACATCAGATTTTTTTGTTTACCATATGTTTAACATAACTTTGAGTTTAGCTCATGATGAATGACATCTGAACCTAAGGTATATCAGAGTTGTTCTGGAAGACTTGAACAGTTGATCTTTCAACATCTTATGTCAGTCCTGCTTCACACGTTGAATGTGTAATTGGCTCAATTATAAATCTTGGGAATACCGTTGGTTGGTGTGACTCGGGTATGCCGGTCTGAACTAGGTGTCAGTGGTTCAAACTCAGTCAATGCCCATTCCCATACTGGTGGAAGACACGAGGGAGTGTTGCATGAGATTCAGATCACAATAGAAGCATTCCTGGTGGAGATGTCACCCAACTACACGTACCTGTAAGTTGATGGGTGAAGTCGACCAGGGTTTGGATTTGCCAATCATACTTCAGAATCAGCATTCACATGTACATGGCATGAACGCTTGTAAGGTCTACTGTACGTTTTGTATCAAATAATGGATGAAAGGTGCTCTGCTTTGAAGCTCGTCCAATATGCTGTGTGTGCATTGCAGTGAGCCAGCACTGGACCCCAAGTACTTGCAGCGCCCCAACCAACACCCCAGCCAACACCCTACCCCCACCCCCAGAGATGCAGGGCCTGTACCCCTCCAGTTGAGCAGCACCCCAGTGTCTTCTTCCACCTCTGGACCATCAGGCCCTCCACTCATGAGTGCCTATTTCCCTCCTCAGCTCCAAGGTACGACCTGAAGAGAGTTAGTATAGGGCTGAAAGTGGGTTGCTGCCAAGTTATTAGCCTGCGAGTGAAGTCACAGGTCAATTTTCTGAAGTCAAGACTGAAGGGGTTTTTGCAAGCCTGCATGTATGAGACTTGTTCACTTTTGGCGACATCCTTTACTGCTGATGTATAAATCCCCTATGTTTTGCAGTAACAGGTGTGACCTGTCCGCCATATTTTTTCACCATGATGACAACAGATGTTTCCTTTTGCACATGGAAGTCACAGATACAATTTTTCTTGTGTTTATTTCAACAAACATTTGTAATGTCAATATTAAAGTCATGTCCCACACCTGTTTCTCCTAAGTGTAGTCACAAATGATTTGTTTTCCCAAGTCATATCTCAAGTCAAAAAGTTGTGGCTCAAGTTTGACTGAGAGTCCCAAGGCAGCAATTCAAGTGGACATCAGTACTGACAACCAGCTCCCTCTTACTAGGGTTAAACCCAACATCTGGAGTCACTTTGATGGGCTCACTATTGTATCTGCCCTGAGTTGAAATGCACCCTCACTGGCAAAAGCAAGACAGCTTGGTATAAAGTTTTTCAACCGGGTTCTTGCACGCATTCGGCGTACACGTGAAGACCATGCATTCCAGCATAAACTTGTTGCGCGTACTCAGCGTGCCCCACGCCAAATGCGCTGTGAACTTGTACGGCTACACGGTGAGTTCATACTGACAGGCTGTCAATTTCATTTCTAAACACGCCCTCTTTTGTTCCTGCTCGGAGCGGATAGTATGGCCGTGGGCACACCACAAGCCGCAGGTTATACTGCCAAATTGCTGGTACTGGGCACACAAGTTTTTCTTACCAGAGTAAAATTTTCTATTAAAGAATTTAAGTCGGGGCATTCCCATCAATCGATTGGTCAGTGGAAGTCTATTTTCGAGGATCAAAGCTTTAACTTAACCCTGCAAGTGTTACATACTTGCGACCAAAATTCTATACATGTACTAAGATTTTCAAGAGTAAGCAATGATATGCAGGAACATAGATTACACATAAAAATGCAATGTTTTAGGCATAACTGTCTTCATCAGTGTGAACATTGTCTTTCTAATACCTAAATGCACTAAAGTAAACAAGTATATGCCGAATTTACAAGAAGTTGGGTTGAGAGCTTGCTTTGATATAGATTAAGGGTTTGTTCTGAGAAACTAATAAGAGAGATTTGGTTATTTCTTTATTGCGTGATGGCCGTGTTCAGGGTATTCACAATTCTCATCACTCTCAAAGTATGCAACTTTACACACTAACTTACCGGCTTAGTTGTGCATAAAGTATAGAAATTATAACAACCAGTCAACCATTAGTCGTTTTTGGAGTGTATGGTACCGGGTATACATGTACATGTATACCCGGTACCCTGTGGTAATCTTTCAGCCAATAGAGCCACAATAGATTGCATGGCATTCACTGTTTTACTTTTTCCCCATGCACTTCAAAAAAGTGACTACCTCATTCTGAAGGTGCCTCATGCCTGTCAGCTAAAATACATGTTTGTCTTCTACCGGTAATTGCACACATGCTGCGTTCTGTGCTTCTGAAAATGAGTCGGTGACTGTGAAATAGAAATACGTGCATGTTGGCACTAATGTTCAGCTTAATGAAATCAATATAGAAGTGTGCAGAATCCACATCATGTCGGGTTATATGGAAATATGCAGAGACCTGTGTCATAACATGGAGGACACTGTGTATGCCGTGTGACCTTTGATCCCCATTAAGTTAAGAGACACACACAAGAGGCTTGGACTAGTCCCTGGAGGTCGAGTATCGTGGAGCCACCTAACATTCACGGGCCACAAATTGGCACTGTAGCAACCGACGCTTCACAACATTATCACAAACCGTTTAGGAACACGGCGCACTGCCGTCAGAAATGTGGCAGGTATCTAGAGCCAGTGACCACCACGGTTCAACATTTGAGCACTCAACTGTTAAAGGGTTGCTGTTGTATCTTATCAGAATGTTTGGCTGAACATTACACTGCGCACTTGGATAAAAAGCAAATGCTAACAGCCGATACTTATCGAGCAGTAAAATTAGCCTCCACGGTGATCCCTTGAAAATTCAGACTTAAGTTCACAAAGACACCTCAAAGCAGTGAATATTTGCATCACACCCCTTTAGAATAGATGTTAAGGAATGCTTTGTTGGGACAGAATACCTTAATAGCACAGTAAGCCACAACAAAAAGACACGGTCTCTCACCCTGTAAAAAATCTTTTTTAATAGAATTTTTCACAAACAGTTCACTTGGATTCATTTATAGGCACAAACGCCGTTCTTTTCTGTGGAACAAGGAAAAGACATAAATATTATAAACTCTTACCATAGAAAAATCCTCTTCCGTCTTTATGTACAGTTGCTATACATGTACAAAACTTGCTGCTCCAAAAACACAGCTTCAATCTTCGTAAGAAATTTACAGGGTTTTGTTTTGTACATTACAGCATTGTAAAGCCAATACAACAGCAGTTAAGAATATACACAATTTTTTTTTTGTTATTTAAAGATATACAGAAACATTTGGGATAATACTTTTACTTCTACATAGAGAATATATAAATTATCTAGGTTAACTAACAATCAGGCAAAAACAAAAAAACAAAGAAATTGCAACTCCTCCCCTTGAAAAATGAGACAAAAATAACATTCCAAAATTGTAAAATGGCAATTGACCAAACAAAAGTGATAATTGAAGAAAATCACTCATTCCAAATCTCTCTTTTCTGGGTTGCTATTTCCAAACCATACTGTTCAGGTTGAAGTATTTCCACTGACAAGATGTCTATTAATTGTGTCTTAAGATGTCAATTTTTGGGGGCAACCACGTGCCAATGGGGACCCTGCATTGTACTTGCAAAACTTCACTCATTACCAAAAAAGAAAACAAAATAGAAAGTCAAATAAATAAAAACTAATTTCAATTTCAGTTTACAACGGGCGCAATGCCTATAGAAAGTATCTCAACTTTTTGTTGCAGATTCCAACATTTAACAACATTCAACAGGTAATTCAAGTGATAGAATTTCAAAGATCTGTTAGTCTTGGATTGTTGCTTTGTATTAATTGGTTTGTTTTCTGTACAGCGCTACTTATTCCAACAAGGTGTCTTTTACTTATAGGCAAGCCTGATACATGAGTTGACTGCATCTACCCCTCAGTCTTCAGCTGTCATCACTTTGAATTTCCACTATTCCTGTGTAACACTGCGAAATACTGTTATTTGAAGAACTGGGTATAAAACTGTGTAACAATGTCAGCTGTTCAATTGAAGCTGAACAATCTTCACTGACTAGTTCTCTGAAAAAATTCAGTGCAAAAACACAGGCACTGAGCTTTAAAAATGCTTCAAAATTCCTCCACTCAAAGAACCCAACTTCAACATTTTATTGTCCATAAGTCTTTGAGTTCTTTGATTTTAAACTGTCATCTTGCTGTCACTTTGTAAGGAAAAAATCACAGTTGGACAATTCAGCAAATCAGTCCTCAAAATCAGAATTTGGACTGAATTTTCTTTAGAGAAATTTTCTGATAGATTGATGTATGGTTTTTAAATTTTTTTGTTTGTTGAAAGTTCAATGAGAATGTGATGCACTCCTTTTAAGATGAACTCCATGAATATTAGCCGTGATAGTCATGAACTATTGTGTTAGTTTTTCCAAATGGTAATTAAGAACAATAATTTGTGAATTTCTAACAGCAGGAATTTAAACAAGATTTGACAGGTCGTTATGATCACAGCTGCCAGATTAAATTTCGCTATGTGCCATGCAACTATTACGCCTTCAATGTGGTTGTCAATTCACAAAATGTTCGTGTATACATTGTAATTATGGCATTTTGTTCACAGTTTTAACCTCATTAATATGACAACTGAAATTCTGATATGAAAGGTTACGCTTAATCAATACATCTCCTTAGCACTACATTTTCAAATTTGCATGACTTGTAAACAGTCACATGTCCACTTGAATAGCCAGACTAGTAGCCATCTTGGTCTTGTCGCTAATAACATCACACATATAGTCTAATTTGGAAATTCCTTTGTCAGAACCATCCTACTGAAGAAGTTTGGCTTCTCTTAAGATAGTTATATGGAACTGTGAAAAGAACGTCTACCGCATGATGAAAATTCACAGATCCTGTAATTCAAGTACAGAGTAGTATGAGGTTGATGTGTGTACAGTCAGTACATGGATCAATAGCTATACACTGTATATTATGTGTCGCACAGGTGAAGGATATGGCTTATAGCAAGGCTACATGTATTTATAACAAATGCACTTAAAATACATGTTAATGTACATGTACTCTACAGGCTCCAAAGCACTGTCTAGATGTTCTATAGTTTACAGTGCAGATTCTGCAGTCAATCTGTAGCATGCATGGCAACACCTGCAGCCCCCACAGAATACTGCAGTGCAGCACTAGTTGAGATACATTCTGTAATTATATGTTGTTAGTGTCATTACTGAACACATGTGCGTGGATGTGAATACATATTGATTAAGTTATGACGTCAAGCTAAATGTTGTACCATGTTCATTTGTATCCAAAGCAAACGTGCTGTACCTTATGAGAATAAGCTATCAGGTGTATTATGTGTGGACTGTACAAAAGCATAAGTAGATATTGTGTTGGTATTAACCAGTGTTAGAATTCATGCGGGTGACATGTAAGTGGGGAAGGGGGTTGATTTCCAATGAATCTGCCTATGCTTCCTTTGTACCTCATCATCTGCGATGCTATTAAGCATAACCATCTGTGTCATGTACACGTGTATTAAGCAGGTGCAATGTCTGATCATGGTCTGATGGCCATGCATATTAATAAGCTATCCAGAATGTTATCAGTATGTGTTCAGAATACGAAAGTTCTATTATGTAGGATTTCAGCTAAGCACACTGCACATACATGTAGCAGTCAGTTTACCGGTCGGAATCCCATCGGTTTCTCTGAAGGACAGAAAAGTCCATCCCATATGGTTAAAGTGGGTTAGGATTCTGTCCAAGTCACTTCACCTTTACATGGTGGTTTCAATTCTTACATACTTAAATAGGATGATTGAACAAAAATACCAAAACATTTAGTAGCAATGAATCTGGCACATGGTGCAGTGTGTTCAGAGTTACTGACAATGACTGGCAAATGATAATTTGTGAACATGAACTTTCTAAGAAATTCCACCAGGGCAAGGAAAGATGAAGTCACACATTTTATGTATGACAATAAATGTGAAGTTTGAGAAACTGCTTCACACCTGTTGGCTATTAAATCTATCTACATTCTACAAAGTCCATGTATATGTCTATTGTTCAAGCACAGTTTCAACATTTGCCATTCCTTTTCTTACAAAATGGTGAAAATGGAAGACGAAATAGGCTGGATATGAAGCAGTGTTAAATCAAAACAAATTTACCCAAAAAATATGACAACCATGACCACCAGTTTCAATATACACGTAGGCCTTTTTCCCATTCCTGACGTCAGGGAGCCAGTTTGGGGATACAGAATTGCAACATGCCCTGCCACTCAAGAATAACCCCAGAACATTCTGGCAATGTGGTCACAGCTGTGCACGTGTAAAGCCTCTCTTGAACACCCTGTAAGTGGCTACATGGCCAAGAGTGATGTTGGAGAGAAGTCCAAAAGGACAGTGCACATTGAGAACAAAGCAATCCACAGCGATTGCAAAGTTGGAAACGGACAATGTTGTTGCCGGCTACTAGTCTTGGCCAAGATGTAACTATTGTGATTTTATTACCTGTGCAAATTATATCCACATTGTAGCAATAAAACATTTGATCCACAGAGGGCGTAATTTACTGGACGTTGACCCTGTATCTTTGTGGATGTCAAAATCTGAAGGAATCAATGCTTGGCGAAATACAATACATGTACTTACAGAATAGAACACATCATGGAATCAGTTAAACTTAACATTCTTGGAGCTGTTTAGTCCAGAACATTTCTGAAGAAAAGGACGGCAAATAAAAAATAACGTGAAGGTCTTGAAAGCAAGACAACTGGCTACGTGATTCCATGGAGACAGAGTCTGGGTGCGATGAGAACAACATGCTAACCATGGATGGGCAGTCAAGAGTGACTCCATCGCGAGCTATGAGATGGGATACATGAGTGGTAGGGTATTCTGCAAATGTGTCACAGAATAACAGGTGTTCATTTTGTAGCCATTTACTTAACAGGCCCCATCTGCACTCCTACAAATTCCTCTGCATGAAAAACTTGGGAAAACGGCCCAAGAAAACATCAACAAAAGGTATAAGTATGTACATACTTTGGTTAAGCTTAGGCAAAAGCCTGAATGACTCATACACATGTAGATATACAATTCATTCAAGCACATGTACATTGTAACATTCAATTCCCTCATTGTGTATGCTGCAAAATACACTTCAAATCATCATCACATGAAATCTGTGCCTAGGAAGACATCACTTTTTCATCAAGTTTTTTGTACGAACTTAGAAAACTGTAATCTTTTGACATCTTCCTGGATAATTCAGAAAAAAAGTTGTTCACCAAAAGCACAAATTCCATCAGACGTCTTGCACTATGAGGAAAGCACACATCCAGTCAAAAAGACGGGTGTGCAAACGATATGTCAGAGACTGGACAGATACAACTTTGGCTACTTACATTTGTAAGTCTCATAGCATGTCATGAACTGTTTACAACAAGTTTTTTTACTGCTTTTCCTACAGTGAATCTTGTTCAAATGCAGACTGTGAACCACACACTGCCTGATTAAGTGGGAATTCCCCCTGGATGCAATGCTGTTAAGTGTTTCATTGGAGAGCTTAACTTCCCTTCCACCCTACAAGTCCTCTGGCCCTGGTGACCTTGTATAAGCTCATATGTGTAGATTTTGTTGACCTGCTGATGACTGGGTTTAACCATGGAGGAAGGACACAGGAGTTGCAACTCTGGCACATCAAAGTGCTTGATGATCATCGCCGCCGATTCAAACAAACAATAGGAAACATTCAAAAAAATGCCTGATTACTGCCTGCAGCTTAGTCGGGCCAGTTATATCCTAGCAATGTCTAGTGTGTTTTGTTTGCAATTAACTACAACTTATCAGCGTGACCAGGAAATAGAGAACGAAAAGTCTCTAACAACATTTGATCTACTTTTGCCATTGTGAATAAACTTTGTACTTTGATATGCTGTTCCATTATCCATGCAATGTTTGTAATTTTATTTTGTCTTTCCAAAACATCATTTTCAAAGTCTTTGAACAAATTTGGCTAAGACTGGCACTGTTTCATCACAAGGAGTGATCACAAGATCTCATAAAATACCTTTTTGTGTAAATTCCGCAATAAAAATGATTCAAATAAAACACAAACTCTTATATACAACTTAGCTGTTTATTCCCAAATAAGTTCAGACGAAAACATCTGATAAGGGCAATCACTGCACATGAACACAGCCTGACAAAAGCAACTGCGCAAGCGTTCAATTTGATGTTGTCAAATCATGCCAAGCACCAACTACGGCATAAATATTCAACTTTCTATACTGCAGTACACAATGTTTTAAGAATACAGATTACCAGCGAAAAATTGTGGCGATGATCACGTGGTGCAAAGGGGGATCGTGGGGTACAAAAGGGGCTTATGGTTGTGAAACAGGTGGTGCGAAGCAACCATTTGCTACGCTCTGGCTATGGACATACCAGGCATGCCAGAAAGCGGTAATAGGCCAGATGTTACAGCCAGTCAGTTCAAACTCCTTCTGTGTCCTTCCTCCATGGTTTAACACGGTGTTGATCCAAAGAGCTTTGTGTGCCTCCTTTTAACCAAAATGGATTAATTCAAACTACAAAGGACACTAAGTATAGTTGGTTGTCTGGAGATAAAACCCTCCGACAGAGATGGTTTATGATTGCTGAATGAACTACAGGAGCATAGAGAGGTCTTGGAACCTAGGTTCAATACTTCATCACAGCACACTGATAGAGTCGGAACTGATAACGAACTAGTGCCATTTCCCCTCTATGTATGGTTTCAAGTACATCACATTTCATTCCCTTAATGAAGATGTAAGACTCTCTTCCATGAATTAAGCACACACATGTACATGTTAGAAGACTGATTCAAACAAAACACAGACTTAGGAGGACAGGAGCCACAGGGGAAAAAAAACACAAAGGGAACAAAGCATCTTGCCCTGTCCTCAGATGTTAGTCTTATGTCCTCTGTGGTAATTGTCTCTGCTCAGTCTTTTCCTGTAGAACAATACAATACACAATGTTCTGTCCTTGGGGATGTAGTAAATCATGACTGTTGGTGTGTCTGTTGTCAAAGGTAATAATATACATGTATATGCACAAGGAGGGTACTGGTACAGTATGTGCATTGACTGTGGCAGTAGACTACCCACAATGCATTGCAATATTTGCATCCACAATATTTAGTCAAATGAAGGGATCAGCGGTCACCTCTAGCTGTGGACAGAGTGGTGGGTACCAGCAGAGGCTTGAACTTGGCCTCCTTCCCTGAGCAGAGAGCAACCTTGAGTCTAGTTTCTTAAATAAACCCACCATCCTGACCCACACTGGCAAGGAAAGCATTACAGCAAAAAGCTGGAAGCTGATTACCGGTACCTGACTGCAAATAACCTCCATCATCACAAAGAAACTGCTTAAAGGGAAATACTGAAGGGGTGCATCAGGTACCCATGTACATTATGTAGTACATTTCCCGAGTACCAGGCTAGTGTGTCCTTCACACCTTTCTGATGTCGTTCCCTGGCTTCATGTTTATAATGCTTTCCATACCAGTGACAACAAATTTGCTGAATAATGTCAGCATACATGTACGTGTAAAACGAGCTTTAATACAACTGTACTATGCATGCCATAATACATGTTTAATACATGTTATGTTAACATACCGTATAGTGTCGATGAAACGTGCCCAAATTAATGCCACTATCTATACAGCAGTCTGGAAGCAATTACAAGGTTCAGGGAAAAGGTTCACATGTTGGGCTCCATTCTACAATGTCTTGATAACACTTTGAATAAATGTACTGTATATATGTGGGTTTTCAAACTGCATGCACACGACATACATGTATGACTACAAAATTGGTAAATGTCGCCTATGTACACATTAATATTTATTTGCCACAGAAATTTTTGGGGTACAAAGAAGCATGACAATGCAGAACACAGTTAATTTAAAAAATGGACTTGGCAAATCTGAATAAATAGCATTTTCTTCATAACTTTGAAATACATGAATAGGGGGGGGGGGCTGGGTGACATTGGTTTTAAAAAGTTCCAGCATACATGTGTAGCGCTGAAATCAATTTAAAAAACAACTTCATAGGTAAACCAAGTGAATCTTGGCATAGTGTGGTCTGTCAAGCAAATCATAATTTTTGATATTTTTATCAGATTTTTAAAAGAGGGAATAGTTTAAAAGATTTTCACCAGTGTTTCTTTAGAAATATACAAAAAAAATTAAAGGAAAAATGACCGATATGTACCACATCCATAAATACACGTACAATGTAATCACACTTTTTCAAACAATATAAAGAACACTTTTTGCCTCTTAATCAATTTCAGAGTCACATGGGAACAAAGTAATGAAAGAATTTACACTGAGATACAATAATCGCAAATGCAATAAGAAATGCTGATTAAACAACATTTTTGTCTAGCTCTAAAACATAATTCTTAAAACATAAACCAGCTTTTCAAGCACTGTAAACATAGGGGCTGTACAGAATACAACAATATTCATATTATTATAAATATATATCACTTCAGCATGCATTTTTTTTATCTTACAAAAAAATCCCCTGAACTTGAACCACACCCCACAACCCTCATAATACGAAAAAACAAACAAAAATAGACTCATCATAAAAAATAATAAAAGGTGCTTCACAGCACAATTCAGGAAGACCAAACCGTGTGCCAACTTTTTTTTTTTACATACAATCCCGCATTTCAGTCTACTTGTATTAGTCTCAGTATCACGAGGTGGTTTCCTGTCGGGCTGTCCAACCACTACAAATTCTTAAAAGAAGAATTACCCGTAGCTGGGAACAGTGCTCTCAGATTCACCCACACCCACAAGTCCTTGCTCTGACCACTCCCACAGCAATCTGCAGTCTTCTCTGCTGTCATTTATCATTTCCAAGGCCCCCCTGTGTCATGTAACTTGTACTCATTCAAATGTACTCCAGTCCTAGGATAGCAGCTAATTTGTATCACAATACATTCCCAATTTTATGCACTAACTGACACAAGTATGCATATTTGTACTTGAGGCATTGACGTGTAATAAGTTATCATTGTGACTACCAGTCAGGGATCCGTGCAGAAACTGATTCTGGCGTTTGAAGCTGAGTTAACTGACAGATTCCAGATGATCCAAATCATTTTACGACCTCCTTTCTTTCTTTGTGATACTGAGAACTGTCCTTTTCAAAACATGAGTCTGTGAACTCATTTACTCACTGTTGGTGTGACTGCATTACTAGCTGTCTCCATTGGTTCGGCTGTAAGGTTGACAGGCAAAAATCTCTCTGCAAAAAGGTGGGGGGGATAGGGAGAGGGAAAAAAAAGAAAGAAGTTGACATTTTCATGTTTAACACATAAACATTTTGACAGTAAAACTTCTGAGATGCTTTAATTGTACCCTGATGATGTGGACCATGCAATTAAAATCACACCTTGTGTTAAAACTGACTTCTGATGTTATGAGACCTTCACGCTTTGAAAAATCACCTCTATCTGCCTTTGGAAAAGACAGTACACGCTCATCTCTTCGGTCTACTGAGTACCTTAGGACCCCCTTTCAAACATCCATGTACGTAAGCATTCTGGAACAACCAGGAAATCCAAACACAAAACAGGTGTCTGCTGAATGCAATGATCCAACCACGTCTCTTTTGCTCGGATCAGCATTCAAATGTGGCTGCCACTGGATTCTGCGGGTTACAGTGTACGTACAATAGCCTGCTGTCATGGACTTTTCTCAATACATGCCGTACCCTTTGCTTTGCCTTTGTCCCGTGACAAAGCTGTCATCGATGTTATTGTGGTTTTTTTTTTTATTTAATGTACAAAATGTATCTTGAAATAATGAATGACACCTACCACCGCAGCTGAGGAACGCTTCCTCACTGGTTGCAGCTGCTATTAAACCTGGTAAGGCCAAAAGGAAATATGGGACATTAGCAACAGTGAGAAAATTAAAATAGAAAAACAGTCACGGGGCGAGAGGATGGTTTTCAACTTTGGAAACTTACACATGCATTATGCAAACAGCTTCACACCCACAAATATGGGTGCGGGTTTAAAATATGCAAGTTAGAAAATATAAAGAAGTGGTGCAGTTCTTTATATGATCCATGATGCTTTTCACTTTTTCTTGAGAATGAATGAACACTTTTAAAAACTCTAAAGGAATGTTATACCTTCCATATTCATATACTGTTCATTACTAGACATTTCAAAGCATAACCTGAACTTGTACATGGTGTTCCTCCAGATGGCTCAAGTCAGATCTGGTATTTTAAGTTTAATAGTCAAAAGCAGCATATCCAAGTTTTATGCCAAGGGTGGGAGGGGGTGAACGGAAGGGGCAGGGGAGGGGAAAAGAAATAGGAAAGCAATATGTCCCAAGAGTAAGCAAGTTACTGCTTCCTTCCCCCAGCTAAGCACTGATAGCCACAATGATTTACTTTTATCTTGTTTACGATTAAGAGGAACTGATGTTTCAATTCAAATGCATAGCCCTTTCAAGAGTGAAAACACAAAATAAGCATTCCTTAAACCCAGATGTGAATTTACATGTACATGAAGGAAAATCAAACTTGATTGCACACTAAATTAGTTTGTGACGATTATCACATGCCCTTTGATATACAGGATATCCGGATCACAGAGCTCTACCATGACTGGCAGCAAGCCAATCTAGTTTGAGATGTTATTTTTCTCCTTGCTGGGGCACACAAGGGTTGACCTCTCCCCACCTCAAGGCCAGAAAGCATCCAAGCACTATGACAGGCCAATATCAGATGACGGTATAGGAGGTGACTCATAAAACAGCTGCTCAGCTCATTAAAAAAAAGGGCGAATCAGGGGATCCATCCCCTCCAGAGAGATACCATGGAAACCACCAGAGTCATAGGTCCCTAGCTTGAATCACTTACATGTAGAATGTTTATTACCATTTCTGAGAATTGTACCTGTTTCTTGGCACGTGAAAGCCTCTTCTGATTCTAGAAGATTTTTTTCCCCAAAGATATGAAGTACATGTACATGTGTGGCCTTCACATTAGCAAGGTGGGAAATTGATTCCTGACCCATGGCACTGTACCCATACATAGAATCTGGGTTTTCTCTTTCTCTGTGTCTCTTGTTTGTGAAGATTTGTTTGAAGCCGATGACTGTATTTTAAGCATTTTGGAACTGTAATCACTGTACACGTTAAGTGGGTAAGAACTCTGTCTTGCTTGAACTATGACGTCACAATATTTATGAACTCTCCTCAAAATGGACATGTAAGAGGGCAGAATGACACTGCTACATGTAGGTATGCCTGAACAGGTGAGGGCTCACTTTCTCAAGATGATGAAATTCAGACATTCAACAATTTACTAAGATAAAGATAATGTGTTATTCTTTCCCTAGAGTGTGCATTGCAGTAAGTGCTGCAATCTTTTCACTTGCTGCTCAGGATCCCTGAAAATCCACAATCTTGAAATCTAGATTTTTGGTTTCATGGCCATCATTTGAGATGCAACCTTGGAAATCCTACCATCGTTGCAGAATACAATTTTCTTCACAAGGTATAATTTAGTTTATAAGCATTGTTTTGGTTTACTTGTTGCTCTGTGCAACCAAAGAGACAAATTACATACAAATGATTTTCTGAAAGTTTGATTTTTTTTTGCTTAGAGCTTGAATTTCAAGCATGCTTTGTTTAATCAGGATGCCCAATGTAGACTATGGAAGTTGTATCATATTCAGCTTTAAACAAGCCAGAAGCAGTATGCCACTTTGACTCCATCAGCAGGGCATTAAAACACAAAACAGTCTGTGCATGTTAGGTGGGTAGACTTTCACTGATACCATCATGCTGGGAAAAGTATTCAGGAAAAGTAGGAGGAATATTGTCCACGCTATTAAGCGTAAATACACTTATACTGGCAAGTTTACCAGAGAGCATGGTGTAGTCTGCATTCTCATCGAGTGAAATCAGGGGTGTCGTCCAACGTGGGATGGGCGTCGATCGCGGCGTAGATCTGGGCGTTGCAACCGGGGAGGTAAGAAATCCAATCGTTGTGGGACTGATGTTGATGGGGCTGATACTGGGGTAGGAGAGCACCTAAAATTGATTGAAAAGATGTTAGTGAGCAGAAGACCACAATATAGAAAACAACACGGAGATATCTTGCACAGATTAAACAAACTGTAAAGCTTTTTTAGTGATTTCTTTTCATGCGTATTTCACATCAAATGCAGGATGCTACATACTTTGTTGAGTGAGGATGCATTGTTAATGACAAAAAAGCAGGCGAAGTTGCTAAAAGTAAAAGAAAATGTATTAATCAGAAGCAAAGCAGGCTTGAGCATATACATGTATGCGAGTTAATTTTGTTTACCACCAGACATGACCGTATAGTGGACGCATGTTAATGTTCCTACAAAGTGGCCAAATTCTGTCCCTGAGTGGGGAAAAAATTACCACCAACCAAAAACTATCCATTCCAAGATCACAGCATCTTTTAACGCCCCATGAAGTGCACGGGGAAGCTACACTTTGACATCAACACAATGAATTTATTTCTCAGCATCCTGGCCAAAGTATTTAGGTACGCACTCTTTACTGGGTGCAAGAAATCTTCCACCATGCTTTGCTTCTCTTGAAGGCGCCTGAAGAACGTGTTAGTCCATGGTGGCAATGTCTTGGAAAATAACTCACTTTATATTGGAACAGTTCTCGTATTTCTAAAGTGAAAAAGTATCAGCAGCTCTTTACTGAACTTGTACCTTGTATCAGCCATGTTTCCAACATGGCTGATATCAGTTAAGTCTGAAATGGGCGGGGGGGATGGGATGGGATAGGGGCCGGGGAGCGAATCTTGAGGATCCAGACTGAGACACACCTGTTGTTGGTGGGCATGCACCAGACCGTTATCAGGCCGGCTGGTACCCAGCACCGTGAAGGGGCTCGTCATGATGCTCCTACTCACAGGGGGTGTGGTCGGGCAGGATGAGCTGGCGGCCGTAGTCAAACTAGACGCCACCGACGAAGAAGAGGAGGAGGAAGAAGAGGGCGCTAGTGATGCGGAGGAGACTGCGGCCAACACAGCATGTGAGATACAAGACAAAAGCTATGGTTCAACGCAATCAACTGGCTTCATTCTGAGGGTTGTATTGTCAAGAGAAAATACACAAAGCACTGTTTCCCTTCATGAACACATATTCACACATGGGCTGGGATGTGTAAGAATGGATCAGGACTGCTGACCTAAGGTTCTCCTGGGTGTTGCTGAATTTGGGATCCTGTTTCTATGCGCAGCTGAAATGGAAAGCGAAGATGACAAAATAGACAAATGCATGACAGCTTTGGGCAATTCTACTTGTACATGTACGTTTATGCCAATTAACTTTTGCAGTGGAGTCAGAAAGTCAGTACCAAGCAGTGCCCACTAATTCTGCTGACGAGGCAATCCAGGGTGAGCTCAAACACCAGGAAATACCATCAGAGAAGAAACCGATTCTTTTGAAACAAGTCAGTTTTGTCTTTAGAAACTGCAGGTTCTTAATGAATTCTCGGCAGTAAATAACTCTGCTCACCACTCAATAACCCTATACATGTACATGTATTACCAATGAACGATTCATACTGGAATTTTTTAGCAGGTTCTTAGTTCTTCCACAAGAAATTTAAATCAATTAATCTCAAAAGAATCTTGACTTCTGGACTTTACAATTTAAAAAATGCTGGGATCACCTAAACCTAATAACTGCCAGTTGCCTCGAGGAGTTACTCATTAACCCTAATCCTCCTCAATCCTTCACCTGTTGGAGGACTGAGGAGTGTTAGGGTTTAACTAAATTACCTGTGTGAGAGAGGTTGTAATGAAAAAGAAGCCCGATCAAATGAGCGTTACGCACATAGAGAGGATGCTGAACTCAACCAGACAGTTACATTTGTCACACCTTTATGTTGCACTGAAGGCCCGGTTATGTTTCAGAAAGAAAATGATATTATCTCAACTACAGGTAACAATGCCTGTGGGAAAAAAATAACTCCCCCAAGTATTGAGCAAGCAGCCATGCACTTTACAAGCATGCCCTGTCAGTGAAGGAATTGTTTTCACATGCAGGTGACAATGCACAAACTGGCCCTCATGCAAGCAATAAGTGCCCCATCATGCACAGCAACTTTCCCCAGTAGCATATCCTTTGGTCAATTTGTGACTCATTGGGGAAGGAATCTACACCTCAATGTGGGAACTTGCGATAGGGAGAAGACAAACATGAATGCACCTTTTTGTCACCGCTGATCATAGCATTCTCAAGCAGATGCGAAATGCTCTCATCTGCTTGGTAATGTCAGGTGTGTAGAAAAAGGAACAAAATGGTGTTCAATGTCACACTGTACATGCAGGTGTCCCCATGTCCACATGTACTTGCATACTCTAAAGCATCTGTCCAATCAGAAAGTATCGTTTTTTGTTTTTTTTTCCCCCAGAGATGCGCAAAGTGTCTGTCAACCCACCTGTTGTGATACACAGTATGCAGCACCCTGCAGCAAACAGTATTTGATTTGAATACGGGGGAGGGGGGGTATACATTGGCCACTTTGGGCCGAGTAGCCAACTTTTGGGGGTCAGATCTCACAGCCTGTTGGTGACACTGCTACAACAGTAGTACATAGTTAATACCTTACGTTGCTTTGCATGACAAATTGTGAACATGACCAGGGATACAAGACTTGCTGTTTGCCTTCATTCTGTGGACAGCTTTTTCAGATGTTAACATTAGCATGCAAGACAAAGTATACATCACAAACAGATCACTGCTAACAGCCCTTTTCACTCCGTGGGGCCAAATAAAAGATAAAAAGGGAAGGAAACCAGCCATAAGTTTGTACAAATTCTGTCTCTATTTCTGTACCGCTTCATCACAGTACAGAAAGAATGCTCCTCCTGCCATAGTTAGTGGAACATTGAGCACAAGTTTTCCCACTTGAGCTCTGTGGATTCTGCAAAAGTGCTAACGGAGGAAGAGCTATAGTATTCCTCATGACTATAAGGCCCAACCAGTTGTCACTTACTGCCCCAGTTCAGAATGACAAGAAGCTGGGTCCTCTGTCTGGGGTTTATGCATGCATGGCTAAGTGCGGCCTGCACTTTGTCCATCTACGGCAGGATTTGTAACAACTAAGTGCCTGAGCTGCTTCCATAGTATGGCATGCTAGGCACACCATTCTGGGTTAAACAGTGTCAAGGGCTCACTTTTTGGAGACAAGGCTTCTCCAACCAAGCTCCATAAAAAAAAAAGATATTTTGAAATAACACATAGAAGAAGGGTGAGGTGCCATGTCATGCAATTTCTAATGTTTTCAGTAGCAGGTGTTTTTTGGGGGGAGGTTCAAAGCTTGTTCAGTGAAGTATGAAAGCACATGAATAAACAAAAGAAACTCTGGATACATGTAATTGTAACTCATGTGACTGGCTCTAGAAAAATGGGTAATAAGTCACCAGATTAAGGTTATGAGTTTTTGATTTGGCTAAAATTTGATATATGAATGACCCCTGTAGTGCGCTGCATTCCAGAGATAGACATTTGTATATTCACATGGATTCAATAAAAGCACTTTTTGAGAAAAATCTCATACAGTGTAGCGCTTGGAAACACAATGCAACATGTATGTAGGATTTTCTACTGAATGATCAATTTTTCATCATTAATCATCAGAATCCATGTTTGTTGTCACAAATTCTGAAAATATAAATATTACGAAAGCTTTTACAGGAAAAAACACAAAATCACGTTTTTGAAGAAATGTTGCCCTCAATCTTCAAATACCGGTAGACCAAGCCATTGCGTGTCTTGGCACTGCGCGATTTATTACCCTTTTATGCAAAGCTAGTCACATATACATTATAACTTCCGAGTCAATTTCCGTTACATGTACATGCAGTTATCTTAGATAGGATATCTGAGTTTCTGTAATATGTTCACACATTTTTCTGCTGGAATACTGTGGTTAAGGATAGCTCTTTTTGCATGTGATGTAGGGATGTAATGCAAAAAGTGCAAGCTGACATCCTATGCATGTAACTAACTCATGATTCACATGTATTTGCCATTAACTCTTGACATCATCAGTTTCAGCATTTTCTAGAAGCACAATTATCTAAGTACGGTAGATCCTGGCCTTGAAGCGGAAAATCTACCCATGGAATACTGACTAATTCCAAAACCACTCTATGCACTGCCTCTGGTGCACTCTTTGATCTAATGGCCCACCCAAATCCCTGGTGCAACCCACTCATATGACAATTTGGATCGCAGCCACAGAAGAGGAAATAAATATCACCCGTTTCTCCCCAGCACCCCCCAGATGGTTTTATAACTCCCCAGTTGCCCTGGCAACCAGCTGAGCCAATGACAAGCATGAATCATCGGCAGGTCCTAATTGGCCATGACATTCAATGGGGGCCTTGGCAGTAGTGTTGCCAGGTCATGTGACTTCCTGTGTGCCCCACGAATCAGCTGACGGGCATTGTTCAGCAATTACTCCTCCTGTGGTGTTTCCGTGTGGAAATTGAGAGGGCAATAAACTTTGGGGAATCAAAGCTTTTCCCCCTTGTACAACGGAAACCTAAGCTAGGTTTATTAAATGACAGGAATATATGGTGTATCATAGTTTTGATACTGAAAACAGATTTGCAAATGGATATGCAAATAAAAATTGAATTAATATTAAGTGTAGCGGATGCTGAACACCTATGAGCAGTCATGAAGCTGATAACATTGAATATTCAAACAAAGAAGTTTGATTACTGGACAAATGAAGGGAACTTAGATGGCCTCATGCGAGGATTTCTTGCAGCAGAAGGAATACAAAATTCGGGAAACTCACCTTGGGCACTTGTTGAATTTGGGATGCTCGTTTGACTGGTCACACTGGAAAGGGCACCAGTTTGGCCAATGGAGGTTGCTATGGCAACTGGTCGTGCCATTGGAGGGGGAGGGGGTGGTGGAAGCATGGCTGTGGGGATGAACCCAGCTATCTTGGTGGGACTGCTGGTGTTGCTGACTGCACCATTTTTGACCTGGTTTATGACCAAATTAGGAATGCCTTTACTGTCACAGTTCCTAAAAATGCTGTGTTCATGTACGTACAACACAAATACTACGGAGTTTTCAATCCTAGATGTCACATTGTCGTTGATTTTAAACCAAGGTTTTAAGCACTTGTCAATTAATTACAGAACCTAGGAGGTAATCCTCTCGAAAAAGTGACCCTAGGGCCTTGCCTCCAAAAAAATTCGGAACTGCCAGTGGCAAATACATGTATGCTTTCCTGTTTCAGGCACTGTTTTGAAAAATGCAAGAACTGTGTCTTACTATTATCCAAGTAATTCTTTTGGCCCCTTGTTTCCCTGTAACAATTGGCACAAAGGCTGGGTTTTGAGCACCAAGTAAAGAAGTGAGGGATTTACCTGTTGTTGGTAGTTGTCTTGGTGGCATACCAGCTGAACAAAGTCTGAGAGTGGGGCGGTGTCTGGGTGCTGGGAGTGTAACCTCAGCTGGTTAGAATAATGGGAAGCCTGCGCTAATGTGGGACCAGTGAAAGACGCCATCGTTCCTTGGATTTGACCTACTTGAAGGCAAGGAACAAGATTACAAAGAAAGCATCATGAAAGCAGAATTCTGCATTGCAAGAAAATAGGAGGAACATTGTCACTAACTTTTTTTCAAATTTTTTCCAAACTTTGGATTACTGCACTGTAAATTGTCCTGTTAAATTGACGCACTTTATTGTTAATACTCATGTCCATTTTTATCACAAGTCAAACAATAAAAAAGGTAAAAGGAGTTTACATGGCGGATTTATCCTGGTCTTTCTCAACAAACCATTACATATAATGTACGGTCATTTAATACGGGGTACCTAAGCTGCAGTAAATCATAAAAGGATGATTTTGCAGACTAAATGTGACCACCATAAAACTCTTCAATTGCTAAAATAGTTGTTAACATATATCAACCAACATTTCGAAAGATGTTGCTCCATTCCAACAAAAGCAGAACAAGTTTTTTCAGCATGCTTACCAAGGTATCGTTTGAACACATATTCTTATCTTCTCATTGGTTATGTCAACAGCTGACGAGAATAAATGCAGAAATTATGCAACCCTCAAGCTTCAATGCATGTAGACTGTACAGAACTGTAGTAATATTGAACTCATTGGTATCTCACCCTTGTATTCGGTTGCCTGAGTAACCTGGGCCAGTCCTTGATGCAGGGAACAGGAAGACAGGCCACCATCTTCTTCAATCTTTGGTTCAACTTTCAGGACCCTCCTAGTTGCTGGGGAGGACTGGGATGCAAAGTTGCTGGCCCCCTCTGAGATCTTGGGCTTGTGACTGACATGTGATAGGCTGGACGGGACCACGGGGCTAGTGCCTGCAAAGAGAGGTACCAGATGCAACACTGACGGTCAGCCATTTGCAAGTTGAATCTTGTCAAAAGCTCTTGTCTGTGGAGTACACGTCCAGGTGTACACTAGTCATAAATAAATTGGCTAGCACTGGCAAAAGATGTAGCCAATGCATCTCAGCCTTGCTTCAGTTAAGGCATCATATCTCAATTCCGACAATATCACGTATCCTTTGAACTTCTCCATTGTCCATTGTGTTTCCACAGAAACTATTCACTCCAAAAGATTAAATTCACAATACAACTGGCCACTTTTTTCATGACATGTTAGTTTGTTCAGCAAGATTTTCCGCTGACATATACATTAGCTGAAATAAATTGCATTTGCAGCTTGAAAGGGCACTGGGTTTGTCTTCTCCTCACCTAAACCTAACCTTTACCACAGAACCTGTCACTAACAACCTTATTTTTTGATTACACCTGGGTAAAAATCGTACTGACAAATACTGGTAGTAACAAGCACTATTAAATGGCTTTGGGTTTTTATGTTTTTATTAATGACTTATTTTTCCCCCGGTTGGTGCAGTGTCACTTCTTTTTCGTTTCTTTAAAATGAAATGCCACCTAATAGGAATGTTCCTGGACCATGCAGTGATATATTGCAAACATCCCCTGACTGGTAAACGTACCAGGGTCAATGTCACTGTGCCAGCTACCAGATTGGCTGCTGAGTGAGGCAGGGGACCGGCCATAGAAGTTCAGATTCTCAGTGTCTTCCCCCACGCTGTCCACATCGTCGTCAGCTGAGGACATGGTGCTGGAGTTGCGCTTAATCCGCTTGGTGATGGGATGGTTGGGCTGGATGTGGCGACGGGTGGCCAGTGGCTGAGTGACATCGGTGGCATACTGGTAGTATGTAGGACTCTCCAGGTCACTTAGAGGCAAGGTGCACGAGGCCCCATCACAGATTGAACCTGTTTGACCGACGGCAAATTATTCAATCACGAAAATGTGATTTTAGAATTTAAACAGCTCACAGAATGATGATATATATGTAACTGATGATGATATGGTCTGGCCTGAGCTGAAATGATTAGTCACTGGAAATTAAACATTCTTAAATTACAGTAACTCGGAAATGAAACTGATGAGTTTGTTTCAGCAACACTTTGCCAGATATCAGAACAGAATATCAGATAGAATTCTTCACTCAGAATCAAAATTTCAATCTCAATATTATCAGAAGGTGGGCCAACAGTCATGTTCAGAAGACCAACTGGACTTTGAATTAAAAATTTATGACATTTTATTCAAGGATTTTACTGAGGTTTTCCTTTTTCTTTGTCTCTTTCCTGAATCAGGAACAGAACTGTGACCCCATGATGGGATTGGAACTGATACCATTTGAAGTTCATATGTACACGAAGTAACAAAATTTCCATACATTTTTTGAATGAAGAAAGTATGAAAGTACAGGGAACAAAACCGTCAACCAGTACTGCTGTTTCTGTGTTCTAAGAAGTTAAGAAACCATCATATTTCCATTTTTTTTCTCACGCTGGCCACTATCTGTAAAACACTACTTTTGCTCGTCAGAAATGCCAAGGGAAATCACGCCAGAAAGGTATTTTCCTGAATCTGTATAACTGACTTTTCATTCACAGCCCAGTTAAGAATTCCCAAAAAATTCCCAGCATGGTTCTATGAGAATTTTTTCCTTATTCTCTTCAAAAATATGCAAGATCTTTGGAATACTAAAATTTATGAGCTGGACACGTTATTTAATCTCCACATAAGACTGCTACGAGTGGAAACCAATTCAACCAAGCAATAACTGTATCTTTTCTTTAAGATTTGTAACAAACAAGTCATTCAGTAAACGCTGAAGGAAACTCACCTTGGGTGAGTCTTCTCAATTCATTTGAAGAGAAAACACCGCTGGTGGCAAAGCTATTTGGTTCTTCTTGGGTAGTAACAATAGTTACTGAAAGAGAAGAAATAATATAGCACTTTTGATTTTGTTTCATTTTTTGTTTCAACACAAATTTTCTGATATTTTTAAAAGATTGTATAAAATGTTTTAAATAGCCAATTTTAACCAACAGAAAGCTGTTGTGTTTCATAGTGCTCCATCAATTCTCTTTTATTAAATTGCAGGTCACTTATTTGGCCATGAGTTACATACATTCATGTACATGTAAATCTGTCCTCATTTCAATGTACTGGTACTATATGCTAACGTTTAGGCATTATTTAAAATAAAACAATGTCACATGTTCATGATAATTAAATGCAAACTAAATGTAAGTTGTTCTGGCCTTGTGCATGGTGCACTGGTGTAAGGTTTTATTCCATTTCTGAGGGGAAGACGGTTTTCATAAACGGAAGCAAGCTACATGTATTAAAAAATCCTACAACCTGTCCAAATATAATGGGCTGCTACTTAGTGCTAAGAAGCACTACTGCTTGTCAAATGTGATGTATTCAGCAAACAGTAGCTAAGGATTTGCTACGCATACGTATATGTACACTGTGCATGCCTTTAAATGTGCTTATTAGGCCCCCCCCCAATGATTAGGTTTCCTGTTTCTGCACCAATCATACATGTACAGCATTGTACATGTACAAATGGGAGCCTAGAAAGCCTTTTTTCTTGGGGGGGTGGAGAAATTTTGGGAGAAGTTGAAATCAAAACTGGAGAAAATAATAGACTATTGTGGTTTCAAGGGTCCATGATGACCTCCATGGACAAACTGAACATGAATTGTTTCAAATATTGAAACAAGCTGTCCATCCACATGTTCCGGAAGAAAACATGGTGGCTAGAATTGCACACTGCACAGTTTGGAGCTTGAATATTTGGCCCTGGTCAGCCTGACTTTCAACCTCCAAATTTGCCAAAATTTTGATTTGGTTGAAAAGTTATGGGTGAACACATCTGGTCAGTACAATTTCTAAAACACCCAAGAATTGGACTGAATTTTCTGAACTTATCCAAAACAAGTATAGATGCACTAGCAGCGTGTAGCGATGTCCGTCACAGATATATGCAAATTTTCTATGTTAATGAGATACCTCTCAGGGGTAGGGCAGTATCGCCAAAAACTTCTTTTAAAGTTTTTCCTTCCATGTATTATTCAAAAAGGCAACTTTTAAAATTATGGATATTGTTTAAAAACGAGCAGTTTTCAATTAAATCTTGTAAAAACCACTTTTCATGGGCCCTTTAAATGTGCCAAGAGGTTCAATGCACTTATTCATGAATGTACCCATTTAGTGCCGTTACATGCTGCTAATTTTGTTTGTCTCCAGTCCACGCAGTTCAAGCTGTCAAATAAGAATAAAAAACAAAGGAGCTGCAGCAACTTCTGAGCTAGCAAGGTCCAACCCTCTTGTCCTTGCCCTTGGCATTTCTATCATCATCCCATCCGCCTTATTATTTGCCATTTCCCTAACCCATAGTGCAGGCCATTGACCCATCCTATGCCTTACTGCCACAGCTGATGATGTGAGCCAGCGGGGAGATCGGGAGCTCACAGCCCTCCACCCCTCCACCCCAATGTGGACCATTCCAGTGAAGCTGGCTGTGTACACAACACAATGACACTGGTGTCCATGGGGACCCAACTACCAGCCTGTGCAATATCCTACTTGCATGTTTGTGTCCTCTTAGCCTCCACATACATGTACATTTATACCCTGTGGGCCAAAAGTTTATTTATCATCAAAGCTGACTGACCAGGATGTGGGGGCAAACCTTCACAAACAGCCATTTCTAAGAAGTTTCACTTTCGCTTTGCCTACTGTATGCACTGGGGCACTCTCTGGGGCACAGCAGCACTGGTACATCAAGCTCAACAATAGGGGACGCACCCCATTGTTCCTCAGCCATAATGACCTCCCAGGGCCAATTGCCATGACAACATGAATCAGCATGTTATGAAGTTTACTGTTGCATGTTTCAGTAAGCTGATATTGGCAAATTAAATAGTGATTAGCATGGCAATGAGGCATTTATAAAGTGGTACATGTACACATAAATGGCCTGATCAAACCTTCCAAATTGTGTGGTTTATAAATGTGTAATGTACCATTCCTGATTGTACGCTGACGTTGAAGGGAATTAGCCCTCATAAAAATGCAATAAATAAAAAATGAAAACCGAACAGGATAAGAGAATATGTTGCTATGTCTCCAAGACCACAGAAAGACGTGTGTGGCTGTGTCAATCTTCCTGCAACAATTTCTGCAAGGTTTTAGCCAGAGGGGTGCCTTGGACATTTTTGAACCCCCTCTGGGCCATTTTGGAAGTACCCTGATATTTTCAGTTCATGACAAGTTTGAACTAAGTATGCTAAATGATGTAAACCTGACGGGCTACGGGTAGAGAGAAGCCAGAGAGGAAAACATCAGGATCTACCCTCTTGTGGGCCCCAACCCAAGTTGTTTACTGATGAGATGCCTTGATTTCACAATCCTTATGACTCATCCTCCAGGAAGCATGAAAAAGGCCATCGGTGGAAAGTTCAACGCTCACCACAGAAAAATTTCACCACCAATAAAGTTCTCTGGGAAAAACTGTCAGGATTTTGAAAACTCTAAACAACATACAGCACCGAAGGCAGTGGCAGGCTTCATCATGAGGACGTTGATCCCAATTGTTCCAGAAAAAATATTCCCAAAGGCCCAGTAGGATCCAAGGTTACGAGGCAGTACTTTAGAGTAATTACACAGTACCTCAAATTTTTTTTCTTGGAAAACAGCAGTTGATGCATGCCAAATGGGTCACTAGAGTGACACTGTATTGCACAATGTAAGAGGGATCAGTCCTGGTGAACAATCCACTTTCTGTACATGTATAAGACTTTAATGTGATCCCCTTACAATGTACTCACATGACAAATCATGTGCCTGTGTATGAACTTTTGCCAATTATTTACATGTATTTTGAATACAGGCCACTGCATGGAGAGAACTATGGAAGTTAAGTGTTGACTTGTCAGCATGAGTATGTCATACATGTAACACTGCACTAAAAAGAGATAAACTGTCTCATTACTTGTGAAGTACATATGTAATACAAATGTAATATATTTGAATAAGTTTACAAAGATCATGGCTCTTCTGCAATGGCACACTGCTTCTGCTAGCCAGAAATCCTCCAACAATGGGCATGATGAACACTTTGCACATAAAGCAAATGTTTGCCGGGATTTGCACAGAACTGTGCCCCATGTTCAATTTTGAAGAGGAATGCGATGCATTGTTACTAAATGGCAGAACCCACATGTACACGTAGAGTGGACTGACTCTTGTAAAGTACTACTGTGCCCTGATTGTTTTTCACCAATGAAAGTCCAAAATTTGAAGAGAGAAGAACGATTTAAAAAAAAAAAACACTTCCAAACAAGCCTAAATGACACATCATGCTTGGACTGCCTTAAAGTGAATGACATGTGGGGGTCAGGACATCCATATGCCTCCAGAGAAAGTGGGAGGAAATCTCCACTTTCCCGCTTCTGGGAAAGTGGCCTGTGGTTCAGAAATTTGGTTTTTTTTGTGGAGTCACAGGGACTGGCAGGGGACCTCATGTTGGCATTGAACTGTCAAGACCTCAAAGTACCTGAACAAGAAGCTCCACAGCACCTACCTGTTCTGAACTACTGACTGAGGGGCCACAGCTAGGATATGGTGTGTGTCCATTGTGTACGTGTGTAGCATGTATGTAGCATGTATACAATAGTTGTAATGATGAACATATTCCTTGCTCAATGGTGAACTTGGCAGTTAAACATTACATTCAAGGTCTTAGCATACATGTATGTCATAACGCATAGTTTTATTGGCATTTACCAATAATCTCCTTAAACTCCTCCATATTAGTTCAAAATTGTACATTTTTCTGTTAATTTGATTGTTTTCTTATATTGTAACTGAAAAAACAAAACAAATACAGAAACCAAACCAAAGCCCCCACCCCCCCCAAAAAAACCAACAGACAAAAGAAAGATTATCCAGCTAGATGCATGTACAATGTGGATAAAATAAAACACATCGCAGATACATGAAGTTCTTATATTTTACCAATACATGTGGATATTATGATGTAGTTGTTTAGAAACTTACATGGATTCTGCCAATCTGGTTCACTGCCACTTTTGACAGACATGCTGTCCCCAGAATCACTTAGTGCCCGCTCTGTAAAGAGAAAAAAAGGGAGGTTAAAGACATAAGAAGACCACAAACACACATGTACCTGTGTACAAAAGATCCTTTGAACAGAAATCATGGGTCATAACCACTGGGCGATGTGGGGAGAGGGGAACACTTCGCCCTGTATGATAAGTTGAAAACGGAAAAAAAAAAAAAAAGAAATTTTTTTAAATGGAAAGGGGTGCAAAATATCCAATTTGCTCAAACAAAAAAAAGCAAAATCCAAATTGACCCCTTCCAGCCATTAATTGTTTATTATTAGTGTTTTTTGGTTTTTTTTGCTGATAAATGTTTTGCTTACATGTATCCCCCGCCTCCAACATTTTCCCCAGAAAAAGTGGTTTGTTCATTCCCACCCCCACCCAAAAAAGGTCTTGGCTATTCCTGCAATACATCCAAAAATGAAGTCCCCCTCCTCCTAAAAACATGGATACAAACCCAACCTTTAATCCTCTTCTTTTTTCAGACAGCAACATTTCAAAGCACTGGTCCGATACAATTTCATACTAAGCTACCAGTTGCAAAATCTGGTGACATATCAAAACTTCCATGCAAATTCAGCATGGTCCTAATAAAAGAATGGTTAAAGGTAGTTTATACATGTAGGATTTGCACGATCTCAAAAACAGGACTGTCAGATTACATGTATCTGGAAATATCTTACTTGTAAAGTAAGTACGTAACAGTGTCAGACAAATCTGTGAAATCATCCGTCAGGAAGATCTTTGGAAAATACAATTCGTTCAAATACCGCAACCATTAATGGGCGCAACGAAAGAGTGCGTGAAGCATTGAGCTGTTGGAAGAGTCTATACATACTGGGTAATACCGGTATACATGTACATACTGCCAACACGCCTTTGGTAAGCCTGAACTCATCATTAACTAACGAAAAAGATACTGGTATAACAAGTTTGTGGAATGATACACAAAGTAAATCACAAATCCCACAATTGGCCAATTTTGACAAATTGCAGTACATGCAAATCCTATACACTACCTTTAAATACCATAGCTGGAGAGGCACATTTCACAAATTTATATTGTATTTTCTTCTTAATCAATACTTTCCGTAATGGCTGGTGATATTAATTAGACCTTGTACACAAAAAAAGTGAATGCCTATAGATGCAACCATATTGTCCACATTCACTTGTATGCATTATCAGCATGCATGCACCACACAACCCTTGAACCTTACAAAATGATATGATGCTGCCACTGTGGGTTAGAGTGCATGTTGAAGGGGGTAGAATGAAGCAGTTCCTTGACTGGAGATGGATTACGGGAAAAGAGGGGACAGTCCCCAATCAAGAACCAGGGTCCTTGCATTTCCTGCACAGAATTCACTTCCTTACGGGCATGTTGGCAAGGCCATGTAAGGCGAACAAAAATGCCCATATTAAGATGTGCTCTATGCTCGGACTTTTTCCATCCTTCGGGCTCTATTTGGAAGCCGACGACACCTACTGTACATGTTCACATTCTAGCTATAATTATAAAATCTTCACTTTCACATATTATAGGACTGACATTTAAGCCCCTTTTAAGCACACCCTTTTCTTACATGTGCGTGTACATCCTCGGAAATCAATTTAACAAGTGGCTACATGCAGTACACATGTACATCAGTGTTCTCCACGGCCGAACATTTTGGCAGGGCGGTAGACAAAATTGTGAGCGCGAAGCCCTTACGGTGTGGGGTCCGGGGCCCGCTTGACCCCAGAAAATTTTGGATTCTAGATGCTCTGTGGTGCATTCTGGGGCAATTTCCAGTCCACTTTCGTCTGTAATTTGGCCCCAAATCTGATTGCATTTACAATGAGAAATATTGGCTAGGATATTCTTCAGAAGGAATTTCTTCATTGAAAGATTTGATGACGAAATTATTTTTATTTCTGGAGCATTTTTTGCTGAACCTTAGTCATGTTAGTGACTCGAAACATGCTTCAGATGCACAGAGCATGCGGTTTTCTCAATGATCAGTTGACTGTGAAAAGGCAGAGTAAACACAAGCCTCAAAATGTGCCCTTGAATACAAAAGGACAAAAGAAATATGTTCAGGCAAAGATAAGTTTACAATTTCCAGCTCACGTCATAAAAATGAAGCAACCCCTCCATCAGAGCAGAGCATGGGGGCTGCTCAGGCATGGCACGGTCCTTCCACTGGCGCCCGCGCACACTCCGCAAAACAATGTTGTGCTGCGGGTACCAGTCACATGCACTGCGTGTACATGTACACGCTTGCGCAATACAATGTAGGTGTACATGTACAAAACATACGCGATGGTTTTTTGGGACACGAGGTTGACCATGCACAACGATAGGCAGCCAACGATCACCTGAGATCTGAGATCCGAACCATTCATTGGGCTGTGGTTTAAATTACACAGTGACGAATTGCAAACTGGCTGCGGCCCCTCTACATAGACTCGCGCGTAACATCAGGCCATAGCCAAGTTATTTAGACCCAGCTTAGTTTTCGAAAAATACGCCCTCTTGCGTTAAGGAATTTCTACTTTAATAAACTGGTTCTCGACGCTACTACATTTTGAAAATGCATTATATGGGAGGAGAGGGACCAGTCTACACCAAAACAACATGCCTTACATAACGCGACGTCACGTATAGACTCGTGCTGCACTCAACTCTTGGTGTTCCTTGTCATTGTCAGTACATCATAAGCGTCGTCCGTAATTTCAAACTTGATCCACAAGCTGCGGTAAACCTCCTTTTTATTAAAGTCTTGAGAAAGTAGACATTCGGGGAAAACTACACTACTCAAAAAAATAGCAGGATCGCACAAATTTTAGTAGGGTGGCAAATTTTTGTGGGGCGGCCCAAAATTTTTAAAACAGCCCGTGGAGGACACTGCCACATGTACATGTATATCAGTTGTGCTCATATCTATTAATGGGTATCATTTCACAAGGGTTAAACTATGAAAGGGCTGCATACATGTATAAATTAAACATCATGTACATTATACTGCAGACTGAGCTCTTTTTTTGAGTAGTTTACATGCAGAATACATACATGTTCATAAACTAAATGTTTTGTGAAAACTGATCCCCTTTCAATTGTTCTGCAATGTACATGTACATGTAGTTTCTATGCCAACCTAAATTGAAAAATATTGTGCATGTACATGTGCAACCGTGTAAGAAACCCTGTCCATATTATCATCTACATGTACCTGCAGCTTAACACGTGTACTGTCTGAAAAGTATGTTTCCCAAATAAATGTCCATTCATAACACTCAATAATATACTATATGTTTAGTGTTGCTCACCTGGGCACTGGTGAACACACCCAAGCATGCACTCTGTTCTTGTATCAATGTACATGTACATGTACATTTACATACCGTATATGACACAGTGCACTCAACTGTTGAGTATGAATGGACTAAAAGGCACATACATGTACACTGTAATCCTTTTAAAAGATGTCCTCAAGTCAGGTCAATGATTCTAACAGGCCAGTGTTAACCAAGATCAGGCGTAAAGAGAGTAACCATTGTAATTGCAATGCACTGGCATCACTGTTGGTCCCTATGGCTTTGCTGCAAGTACCACTGCTGGTACATGTACATGTACATGCATGTATGTATGAACACATGTGTACATGTACATGTACATGTATGTATGAACACGTACCTACATGTATGCCAATGTGTGCAGACGCTGTATTATATAGGGCCATAGTGAAAAAAGTTCTCTCCTGCTTGAAGAAATTCTTACATGTATACAACTTTGAGTATCTAGTACTACTGCATGCACTTGTGAACCATAACTCTAGCACAAGTCTTGTTCAAGTTATGATTTACAACTGAAGACGAGAGACATATTTTTGCCATACAGTACATGTACAGTGTATGTATGTCCATACTGCATGTTTATGTAATGCTAATGGCCTTATTGATACGTGTATGTGGATGGTCCACAGCTTTCAGTTGCATGGATTCTATTCGATATATCCATGCAAACCTCAAGCGAAAAGTGCATCTGTGAGGACATACATGTACATACCAGCAAAAGTGAAATAACTACATACATGTATACTCTCCAGTTTATTTAAAAAAAATTCCCTGGTGTCAAAGTCTGAATAGATAATTCTGTAAAATCAATCTTTTGATTTCAAATACCGACACATGCTGCAAATTCTGGCACAGTAATATTTTATCTGATCTCATTTCTTTTCATTGAGAAGTGGGTCACTTCTGGGTTTGTACCGTGCATGTACCGTGCATGTACCGGTAGGCTGACTACAGAAGTTATTTCTTCACCTATTCAACCTCGTGATTCTTTGCCACAGCAAATGTGCATTGGGTGTTTGAGGACTTCTCCTTTACATGGTGTTTCTATCAAGGTGAATTGTTCTGTCTAGTTTCCCTGAAAAAGTCTGAAACTTAATTTTCATAATGTCTTCATCGTTAAAAGCTGGACAACACCCTTTAGCAGGTTGCCTACAAGAGTAAAAAATGGACATGCATATTGGCATAAATCCTCAATGTCCACATACCCATATGGTACAAGCCTCAATCACAGATGATGCCCTCCCTCATGAAGTCCTCCCTAAATTGAAATTACAGCACCGAATCAATCCTTGACCGTCCAGTACATACATGTGCATGTAAGTCCCCCACCCTACCCAATCCCCTCCAAATTCAACCCCCCCCAAAAAGGCAACCTGCATTCTGTACATGATCTCTTAACTAAAAGCACCTGTTAGTGTTACTACATAGAGCTGCATATAGAAATCAGGGACCTTAACCGTTCCATAGTCTATCGAAAGTCCTTGAAATTTTTTGATCATTAAACAGCTTGGTAAACCCCCCCCCCAAAAGAAATACATGTACATGGTAACTTACACATTAGCCCTTCCGGACCCGAGTATCTCCTTAGTGAAGACAAATGGACAGACTTTGTGATCCAGGAATGCGATAACGTGTGTCCAGTATCATAAACATTTGCAAAATTACTGGTGCGTATTCTATCGGTATGCCAGACTCTAGAGAAAAAGCAAGAGCAGGCATGATGTTTGCCACCCCAAGAGAGATGCTGCTTGAAATCAGTGGATTCTGTGTAGCCAACAGTACCTGGTGGATAGGGTTTGTCACTCCCAACTGCAGGGTCATTGGTTTAAATCCAACAGCTGGTTACAGAACACGCAGTGACAATGGGCATAACACTTTACTCCTACTTGCCTCTTTCTTTGCCAGGAGTAAATAGGTACCTGGTACATGTACCTGTATGTGAGAGCAGAGGTAGTTACTGCAGCCATGGAAGTGCATTTGACATTTAGCAAGGTACATGTGTAGAGCCTGAAATGGCCACACTGAGCTTCATACTCCCCAGGGAGCTGAGACTGCAGGCCAAGTGAGCAGGAATAACAGTGATGTTTTTGTGCAACATACATGTATACTATACATGTATAATATATGCGTAAGAACGGCCAATTCTATGTACCAAATGTACATTTACATCATGTACATGTACATGTACCGGTACTGTGCAGCATGCAGTGCTGCATGGCCTGTTCCCAAGCCCATAAGGATCAATGCACTAAAAACAACTGTACATGTACATGTATTTCAACATGCTCTCTGGTTTCACACTTACTTTCACCATAATGATGGATTCCATCGACAATCCCACAATATGTGACAATTCCATTTGCAAGAGGCTTATCAGATATGCATGTAATCAATGGATATTGATCACCTGATCCAACCTCATCAGGGTCCCTCCTGCAACTTATGAACAACAGGAGGGGGGTCACTGACCCTCTGACCTTGATGGCATACATCAGGCATATCAGGCCCTTGCTGCTCAGTGTTTAGACATTGCACAATTTGTCAAGACTAATTTAACCCACACTCTGCTGACAGATGAGAGAGCTGGACCCTTCCCAGTTTCTCCTGAAACAGGAAGTGGCCATTTGGGGCCTAATCTAATCACATGTGCACGTGTACCCACTCACAACAGGGATACACTTGAACACCCACACATTCTCTGGTAAGCTTTTAAAGGTAGTACTGGGTCCCTCTGTCTTCAGTGTACACAAGTAAACTACATGTAGTACTGTAAACAATTGTACCAAAACACAAAAACAATGGATGAGTGAACTCTGGACAAATCCAAGGCCATTTGCATGTAAAAGACTGCGTTTTGATGCATATCCTCTCATTAGTGTTACATGCAGTCCTGAACCCCATGCAATGTGTTTTAATGCAATGCTTGTGAATGCTTCTTATTCATTAAATCCCATTTCACTATCTGTTGTGCTATTTAACAGGTATTTTAAGTGCCTCTTCAATTTTCATGCTACTGATGCCAATATACATATTTACATGTATAAGCAGAGTGTAACTATGGCAGAAATGTGTTGAAGTTATAATTGCACCAAAATTTTCCAGAGTTTTGGCTATTTTGTTGTCATCAATTTCATTTAATTGGGAAATCCAATCATGACAGTAGGCCAGTGAGCAAAGTTTTCAAACAAATCTTTTCAAAGGTCAAATTTTGAGTTCACCTTTTGAACAAAACCCTCAAATAAACAGTATCTTCCTAAAATGTCCTCCCAGCAACAGCGCCCCCTTTGTCTGGAAAAGTAAGGAAAATTGTAAACATTTTCAAAAAGTTCATTCTTAAATGGGAGTAACCAAACTGGGGTGTGAGATAGTTTTCTTCTATGTTTAAGAGAAGTTAAAGTTGCACACAAAAATGTTTGAAAGTAAAATTCACATTATGGACCCATATATTTATTTACCTTTTTTATACTGCCATTTCAACAAGGTTTTTGCACACTGACATTAGGGGCAAACAGCATGGTACAGTTTTTTTGGCAATTCCTATCAACTTTGTTCAGCTCTTACTGGGTCAATAATGACTTTGCTTGGTACATGTATATGTACATGTAAGTGTTAATTTTTTTTTACATATACAGATGTATTCTGCACTTTCTCTACTATGGGGTCATCCAGAGTCTGGGCCAGTAAATTCTATTTTTATTTGTAGCTGAAGTCAAGGGATTCTGTTTTCTTAATTACTGCCTTCATATCAGTGGTGAATTAAGGGCTGTGGGGAGAGTCACTTAATGAAGGAAATGGTGCTTTGGTACCAACAGAAATCTTGTTTTCCCCCCAACTTTCAAAGAGTATGACATCAGGAAGACAACATAAATGTACATGTACAGTATTTGGGAAGTTAGGATGGAACAGTTTTTCTTTTTTTGCCTTTCACCTCTGCAGCCCAGGTTCAAATCTCACCAGGCTCACATGTGAATTGGGTTTGGGCCCCTTCGTACTTCTGTGGGTTTTAACCAGAAAATTTTTCTAGTTTTTTCTCTGTTCTGCTTCTCATGTCTCCCCTCCACAGGTTTCTTCAGGCTTGAGCTATCTGTATAGTGCCTGGGGCACTTTTAAGGAAAAGTTTGTTCATTATAAGAACTGCTCACTCCACTGTCTCAAACACTGCAAAGATACACTGTTTGGCAAAAATGTTTTGTTTGGCTCTTGGATCCTGAATTTCAATACATGTGCTGCAATTCTACACAATAGCATTTCAAAAATTTTAAACTACAAGAAACATCATAAAAATTGACATGTGCATATATCACTTATGATATACATATTTACTCAGATGTTTCAAGTTGTCAATAATTTCACTGATGTAAGCCATTTATGATTGAGTAAACCTCAAGGTAGTGGTACTGAAAACAATAACTTAATTGATCAGAGAACCCTTAGTTTCTGTGGACAAAAGAGATAATTGCAATACATGCACAATACAGTGTGATTAAGACATTTCCATGGATGGAGCAGTCTTCTTTGTAGTGTATTCTGTGAAAGAAGTCAATGGAAAGAATTAACCTATCTTGGAAGAATCGCGTCAACCCAGCTTGTGAAATACTGTTCCACACAAAACAGACGCAGAACGCACCAATTCTGAGACAAACTCAACGTACAAAATGACAAGGGGTTGTCAAAGGGGCGTGGCTAACTCTCAAACTTGGATAGGTCAATCCCACATTTGAAGTAAGATATGGGACGGAGAGACTATTCACTGCAACTTGCATTCCACTCACTTGTTTCATGTTTGGGTCAACTGCTTTGTGAAAAATCGAGAAAAACAGCGCGGCCTTTTCAACGCTCAAATCGAAAGTCTTGTAGTTTATCTTGCGTAAAATCTATGGATTATAGGGCGTTCGTAGTACAAGTGAGCAACGTCCATAATAGGCATGACAGGTTCTCATTCCCTTAAAATGGAGCAGTTTTTAATGGCTAGGAGGAGTCAGTGAATTTACCTTGGAGCAATGCGCCTCCTGGACAATGTAGCATTGCAGATTAGTGGAAAAACTTCATCCAGGAACACAGCAGTTGACTCGTGTCCATGCCCAAGTGCGCGCGCAATCGTGCTTATAACAGCACTTTCATGTCAGTTCACACGTCGATGAAAGTCAAAAACTCCATTCATATTTGAGTCATTAATAATTATAAGTAAAAAAGAATTATATCTAAAACAAGGGAGGATTAACGTGTGGAAATCGCACTTTTTGTTGACAAAAATCATCATGCTCAGAAACAGCCGCCATATTGGATCATACCATTAATAGGGGTGATTTTGAATTTGCTAAGTATTCCCGTTAAAAAAACCTTTCCTTAAATAAAATTCAACTTCACACTGATCCAATTTATTTTTTACTTTACGCCTAACACTCTGGTTTCTATAATTTCAGTTCACAGTGCTTCTGGTGAAAGAATTGTCCGTTCATTAATGGAGACTCCCACAACATCTCGAACACTATATAAGAAAATTGGCGCCTGTTGAAGGATGTGGAGTGCAATGTGAAATTAACTTTATTACGATGGTCGGCCGACTATCGTAAAAAAAGAGAACAAATTTTTGTTTTCTCAAACACTAAAGCATTCTGGGAGGAAATATTTTACAGACTGATTGAGACTGTTATGTACTTTCTTTCAAGTAAGATATTTCACGATTATACGGTAGTCCGATTTTCGGGATTTTACCAATGGTGTACACCACCCGTAATATACACACGAATGTGCTTAAAAATCCCAAATGCATGAATTTGTCTTTGTGTGACACTACACACTGCACAATGGATAAACATCTAAGTAAACATTCATGTACATGTAAGTGCATAATATTATTTGTATCAGTATTGTCGTCAAGACCATCACAAGACCAGAAAAGAGACCATGTCCAAGACCATTCACAAGAACTGGATGAGCAATGACAAAGATTTCTTTTGCTGCAGCTTGTGACTTGAATTCAGACTGGAGGCCTTGTGCTGGTCTGAAATGGTGTCGACTACAACACTGATTTGTATGTGTGTCAACACATAAGTTGAAAAGTGGTCTCCTCAATCAGTCCACTTTTTGTCTCTCTCTCAACTGTGCCATACCTAATGGCAACATTTACTGCAAATGGCTTCCATTTAATGATACATGTACCTACCTGGAGATTGCACGATGAAGGTTGCAAGAAACAGATCCAACTCTCGGATGCTGACACTTATGTGGTGTGGCTGTACGCACAGCACAGGGTTGGCACAGTTTATGGACTTGACCAGCCTCTCGCCATCTGTGCTCTCCAATGGGATAGCCTTGAAGAGCACCACCATGACCAGGTCCAGCCGCCAGACCTTGTCGGCCTGGCGTAAGCAGTCGATGCGTCGGATCTTGCCCTTCTGGTCGGGGTTGCTCAGCACGCACATGGGCGTCTTCTTGCCGGTCACACTCAGCACAAAGTCCTCCCGGTACTCTGGCCGAATGTCCTTGCGCAGCTTGGCCAGGAGGCGCGAGGCCCACTTCTGCTTGACTTCTGGCTTGTCATTGGCCAGCTCCTCTTTGGCCTGGCGCTCCTCAAGTGCAGACATACGTTTTTCATGCTTCTTAAGGTACTTGCGCTTCCGCGCTTGCAGGTTGAACCAAATGTAGGAGAACGATTTGACATAAGGCAACACAGCCTCAATAAAGGGGTGAAACTCATCCTGCGTAAAGACAATATCAAAAGATTCAGCAGTCCAAAATCATCTCAATCAATTTGCAACTACATTTAGCAAACAGGAATACTAAATACATGTAACAACAAAAATTACAAACACTTATTCCATACTTTCAATATGCCGGTACATATTAATAACTGCAGACTTGCGACTTGAAAGGTGCGACTGTACGGTGTCGAACGTGTCCAACTGACCTAGAATTGTTTCCACAGCTGCAGTTGTTATGAGTTGAAAAATTAAGAAAATTTTTCCTTTTTCTCATGGATTTTTCTTGTTTCGAGAGATCCGTTTTTCAAAACAAGCCAAAGAAGAATCTCTGAAAAGTCAGGGACAAGGCAGGAATTCTCCAAATTTTTTTTCTACAGGCAGAAAACAAACAGGGAGGTAAAACTCACATAATCATGTGGGGTTGCAAGGGAATCATTTTAAACATTTTTTCCATGTTTCAGGAAGCCGCATGGAAAGTACTGTTGACAAGTTGTGTGGGTCACAGAGTCCACTAGATAGTGATACATTGACATCGAGCAAGATGCTGCTATAAATAAAACCATGGATGATATGTAACCATTAAAATACTGTCTTTCTGTTCTACCAGTACATACTCGCGTACCAGACATAGCCTGGTGAAAACTATTATTGCCCATGGAAGAATGTTGAATACACATGAGGTTATAATAGGCTAGCAATAACATTAATAGACCGATATGATTATGAATACAAATGGAGACATGCCACAATGAATGATACTGTCAGGTAAACAAACAAGTCTACATGGTTTATGCATGGCATATAGACATGTAAACAGGGACACGACAATCATTTAGACAAAAAATTAAACACTAAAAAAATAAAATAAAATAGACCTAGCCTAGGCCTAAATTTAAAAAAGGCCAACACACTTTAAAAAATACAAACACTGCAGTAAATTGAACAACGCTTTTACATAACCTGAAATCTGGGTGAAATGCAGTCGTGCGACTCGTCAAACTCAGGTTCACCGGGGTCCGGGCCGTGCAATTCCATTAAGTCACATGGCAATATTTAGGCGGCACAAAAGGAGCCAGCCTCCATGCATGCATTCATGGCGTGTGTGCTGCCGAAATGTTTACATGGTTAGACTTACCACCGACATGTCGGAGCGTAATCGCCAAGCACTCATGGCACGCACCAAGAGCACACCCCAGAAAAACAGGAGCCAGCACAAATTTCTGGCACGGTTGATGTTTCTCGATCGCTTCGGAACAGAAAATCTAGTCGTCCTAGTAGTAGGGAGCCATTGGCACGTTGGCTACGATCCATGCGACATCGCTTTGAATTCAGTGTTTACATCGTTTTCTAGTGTGAAACTGACGCGTGGATCTTGCTTCGCTGCAGTCACGCGATGCGTCACCATACAACGTTCACCTTTGTATGTAAACATTACGAGCTATGGCGTAGTAGAAATTCTGTTCAGTGTTTCGCAATGGCTTTGTTGTGTTTCTTTCATGGTTTACCTAATAGATTATTATGATCAGTGACGATATGGAGTAACCGATGTAGGCGTTCTGAAATACGGTGATTTGATTGGCTATTTTTGCAATTAGTAATAAATATGCATATTTCAGGGAAAATCCACGCAGTGTGAGGCGGGTTTAGAGGAGTGATTGGCAGCATCATTGTAGGGAAGCGCTAGGTAAGAAGAATTTTGTCTCCGATCATTTTGTTTACATGCCAATGGTAGTACTTAAGAGGACATACTTCCTATAATTTTTAAAATTATGAACAGAAAAAAATGTTTCCAGTATCAGGACATTGAAAACGTACCTTTAAATTCATTACGAATTTCTGGATCGATAAATATTATTTATCCGTTTACCAACTTCTTTTTAACTCGTGCAAAGGTGCGTTGACCTCGTCACGAGTGTGGCAGTTGTGGGTTGCGCGTTTTGCAACCATTACAGATGCTGCACATGGTCTTGCAAAGGCGAGTAGCGCCTGCAGTCGCGTATATTTGAATATAATTGCCAGGAATTATTGCATCAGACGTAAATTAATGATCCCGTCAAGTGGAAAATAGGTGTTGACAGGGCGTACCCAAGTAGTGTCGGGGGGGGGGGGTTAGAAATGCAATGACCTGTGTTTGGGATCCCCAGATTATACAGGGGGTCCTGGGGCATCTGTTCCCCCGGAAAATTTTGAAAAAAAAGGGACATCGAATCCTGCAATCTGGTGCGTTTTGTATGGTTGTTTTGTAATTGAAACGATTACAACAGGAGGTTTGTTCGAACTTTACTGCGTGCTGCCTTGTATTACATTAAATTATAAAAAAAAATTGTTTTCAAGGATTTGCAAGGTGATTGTATCGCCCCGGCGCCAGCCTTGATTAAAAGTAACGCCATTGCCTTTGGTGGCATTGTTGGACGTGACTTGTTTTTGTTAAAGTGCGTTTATCATTTTTTATTTAGCTTTTAGATGAATTGTGGGCTTTTCAGCGAGCCTTTGCGCAGAATGGAACGTGCACAAACACCTCATCTTCGTACCAAACGTGAAACACTTAAAAGTCTAGTGCACCAATTCTCTTCCATCATTTCTTCAGGATATTATTAGTAGTGTAGAGACTAGCATTGTTATGAACACGGTTTATCAGAATGCTAGAGGAGCCGGTCACTTTCCTGAACCCAACTGAACGGTAACCGTGACTGAAATTTGGACGCGTCACTCATACGTCATTGGTTCCGTTTACAGACAGACGTTTGCTATAGCTGGTTAATGAAACGACCAAATTTGTGGGGCTTTGTGGTGTAACGAACTCAAACCACCTCCCCTCCGTAAGAAAAAAAGTATCTTTGGACATTTCCCGGATACGATACGTAGACTGACATTCAACATACACACCACCCTGGAGTCCGACTTTGAGCCAACGTAGAAT